TGGTGCACTTCACAAAATAGATGGCATCATGAGGAAGTAAAATGATGTGGATATATTGAAGCAACATCTCAAGACATCAGTCAGTCAGGAAGTTAAAGCTTGGTTGCAAATGGGTCTTCCAAATGGACAATGACCCCAAGCATACTTCCAAAGTTGTGGCAAAATGTCTTAAGGACAACAAAGTCAAGGTATTGGAGTGGCCATCACAAAGCCCTGACCTCAATCCTACAGAAAATTTGTGGGCAGAACTGAAAAAGCGTGTGCGAGCAAGGAGGCCTACAAACCTGACTGTTACACCAGCTCTGTCAGGAGGAATGGGCCAAAATCCACCCAACTTATTGTTGGAAGCTTGTGGAAGGCTATCCGAAATGTTTGACCCAAGTTACATTTACATCATTTAGCAGACGCTCTTATCCAGAGCGACTTACAAATTGGTGCATTCAACTTATGATAGCCAGTGGGACAACCCCTTTTGTTTTATGGGCGGATGGGGGAGGGGGGTAAACAATTTAAACAAGTTAAACAATTTAAAGGCAATGCTACCAAATACTAATTGAGTGTATGTAAACTTCTGACCCACTGGGAATGTGATGAAAGAAATAAAAGCTGAAATAAATCATTTTCTCTACTATTATTCTGACATTTCACATTCTTGAAATAAAGTGGTGATCCTAACTGACCTAAGACAGGGAATTTTTACTAGGATTAAATGTCAGGAATTTTGAAAAACTGAGTTTAAATGTATTTGGCTAAGGTGTATGTAAACTTCCGACTTCAACTGTAAATAATGGCTATTTCTCAGTAAGTTTTAAACTGTCAAGAGGAGTGAAACAAGGTTGTCCACTATCGGCATATCTATTTATTATTGCCATCGAGATGTTAGCTATTAAAATCAGATCCAACAATAATATCAAGGGATTAGAAATCCAGGGCTTAAAAACAAAGTTGTCATTGTACGCTGATGATTCATGTTTTCTTTTAAATCCACAACTTGAATCCCTCCACAGCCTCATAGAGGATCTAGATACAGTGAGGGAAAAAAGTATTTGATCCCCTGCTGATTTTGTACGTTTGCCCACTGACAAAGACATGATCAGTCTATAATTTTAATGGTAGGTTTATTTGAACAATGAGAGACAGAATAACAACAACAAAATCCAGAAAAATGCATGTCAAAAATGTTATAAATTGATTTGCATTTGAATGAGGGAAATAAGTATTTGACCCCTCTGCAAAACATGATTTAGTACTTGGTGGCAAAACCCTTGTTGGCAATCACAGAGGTCAGACGTTTCTTGTAGTTGGCCACCAGGTTTGCACACATCTCAGGAGGGATTTTGTCCCACTCCTCTTTGCAGATCTTCTCCAAGTCATTAAGGTTTCGAGGCTGACGTTTGGCAACTCGAACCTTCAGCTCCCTCCATAGATTTCCTATGGGATTAAGGTCTGGAGACTGGCTAGGCCACTCCAGGACCTTAATGTGCTCCTTCTTGAGCCACTCCTTTGTTGCCTTGGCCGTGTGATTTGGGTCATTGTCATGCTGGAATACCCATCCACGACCCATTTTCAATGCCCTGGCTGAGGGAAGGAGGTTCTCACCCAAGATTTGACGGTACATGGCCCCGTCCATCGTCCCTTTGATGTGGTGAAGTTGTCCTGTCCCCTTAGCAGAAAAACACCCCCAAAGCATAATGTTTCCACCTCCATGTTTGACGGTGGGTATGGTGTTCTTGGGGTCATAGGCAGCATTCCTCCTCCTCCAAACACGGCGAGTTGAGTTGATGCCAAAGAGCTCGATTTTGGTCTCATCTGACCACAACACTTTCACCCAGTTCTCCTCTGAATCATTCAGATGTTCATTGGCAAACTTCAGATGGGCCTGTATATGTGCTTTCTTGAGCAGGGGGGACCTTGCGGGCGCTGCAGGATTTCAGTCCTTCACGGCGTAGTGTGTTACCAATTGTTTTCTTGGTGACTATGGTCCCAGCTGCCTTGATCATTGACAAGATCCTCCCGTGTAGTTCTGGGCTGATTCCTCACCGTTCTCATGATCATTGCAACTCCACGAGGTGAGATCTTGCATGGAGCCCCAGGCCAAGGGAGATTGACAGTTATTTTGTGTTTCTTCCATTTGCGAATAACCGCACCAACTGTTGTCACCTTCTCACCAAGCTACTTGGCGATTGTCTTGTAGCCCATTCCAGCCTTGTGTAGGTCTACAATCTTGTCCCTGACATCCTTGGAGAGCTCTTTGGTCTTGGCCATGGTGGAGAGTTTGGAATCTGATTGATTGATTGCTTCTGTGGACAGGTGTATTTTATGATCATGAGAACGGTGAGGAATCACTTGTCATCTCCCATCTGGACTACTGCAACTCGCTGTTGGCTGGCCTCCCTGCCTGTGCCATTAAACCCCTACAACTCATCCAGAATGCCGCAGCCCGTCTGTTGTTCAACCTTCCCAAGTTCTCTCACGTCACCCCCCTCCTCCGCACACTCCACTGGCTTCCAGTTGAAGCTCGCATCCGCTACAAGACCATGGTGCTTGCCTATGGAGCAGTGAGGGGAACGGCACCTCTGTACCTTCAGGCTCTGATCAGTCCCTACACCCAAACGAGGGCATTGCGCTCATCCACCTCTGGCCTGCTGGCTCCCCTTCCTCTGCGGAAGCATAGTTCCCGCTCAGCCCAGTCAAAACTGTTCGCTGCTCTGGCACCCCAATGGTGGAACAAGCTCCCTCACGACGCCAGGACAGCGGAGTCACTCACCACCTTCCGGAGACATTTGAAACCCCACCTCTTTAAGGAATACCTGGGATAGGATAAAGGAATCCTTCTACCCCCCCCCCCCCCCCCCCCCCAATTGTAAAGTGGTTATCCCACTGGCTATAGGGTGAACGCACCAATTTGTGAGTCGCTCTGGCTAAGAGCGTCTGCTAAATGACGTTAATGTGCCCTTGAGCAAGGCACTTAACCCTAATTGCTCCTGTAAGTCGCTCTGGATAAGAGCGTCTGCTAAATGACTAAAATGTAAATGTAATACAGGTAACAAACTGAGATTAGGAGCATTCCCTTTAAGAGTGTGCTCCTAATCTCAGCTCGTTACCTGTATAAAAGACACCTGGGAGCCAGAAATCTTTCTTATTGAGAGGGGGTCAAATACTTATTTCCCTCATTAAAATGCAAATCAATTTATAACATTTTATACATGCGTTTTTCTGGATTTTGTTGTTGTTATTCTGTCTCTCACTGTTCAAATAAACCTACCATTAAAATTATAGACGGATCATTTCTTTGTCAGTGGGCAAACGTACAAAATCAGCAGGGGATCAAATACTTTTTTCCCTCACTGTACATTTTCTAACCTCTCTGGATTACAACCAAATTATGATAAATGTACTATATTACGTATTGCATCACTAAAAATTAAATTTTTACATTACCATGTAGTTTACCAATAAAATGGTCTGATGGTGATGTGGATATACTCGGAATACATATCCCAAATGAAATAAATGATCTCACTCCAATACATTTTAATAGAAAGTTAGCAAAAATAGATAAAATCTTGCTACCATGGAAAGGTAAATACCTGTCAATTTGTGGAAAAATCACCCTGATTAACTCTTTAGTATTATCCCAGTTTACCTATTTGCTTATGGTCTTGCCTACGCCTAGCGAACAGTTTTTTAAATTACATGAGAAAAAAATATTCAATTTTATTTGGAACGGCAAGCCAGACAAAATTAAACCGGCCTATTTATATAATGAATATGAATGAGGACATAAATTATTAAATATTAAAGCATTAGACCTATCACTAAAAGCTTCAGTCATACAAAAGTTATACTTAAATCCGAACTGGTTCTCTAGCAAATTAGTAAGATTGTCTCACCCAATGTTCAAGAATTACCTTTTTCCCTTTATTCAGATTACAACCTCTCACTTTCAGTTATTTGAAAAGGAAATAATCTCCCAAATATCACTATTTCTAAAACAAGCCATAGAAAGTTGGTTGCAATTTCAATTTAATCCTCCAGAAACGACAGAACAAATTCAAATTAAACTCAAATATACTAATTGATAAAAAACCTTTTTTTTTTACAAAATGTTTAAAAAAGGTATAATCTTTGTAAATTATATTATCGGTAGGACTGGTGGAGTTATGTCGCACATGCAGCTAACAAAAACATATGGAAATGTCTGCTCTACCCAAAATTACAACCAAATAATTGCAGCATTACAGCAAAAATGGAAAAGGAAAGTGGAAGGGGGAAAAAGTAAGGAACTTGTCTGTCGGCCTTGCATTAAAGAATATAATTGGTTAAAGAAAATTGTGATAAATAAAAAAGTATACCAGTTTCATTTAAGGACCAAAGGATTGACAGCCATCCCATATAGATTGCAAAATAGTTGGGAAGAGATTTTTGACGTACCGATTCCATGGCATAGTGTTTATGAATTGATACGCAAAACGATACCGGATTCAAAACTTATAATTTTTCTATGTAAATTATTATATAAAATTGTTGCTACCAATAACATTTTATTTATATGGGGGATACAATCTTCCCAGCTCTGCATATTTTGCTGCGAAGAGACAGAATCATTAGATCATTTGTTTTGTTACTGTCCATTTGTAGCTTGTTTTTGGACACAGGTCCAGGAATGGCTAAAGGATTGCAATGTTTACCTGGAGCTAACCCTGCAGATAGCACTACTGGGTGATCTGAAAAGTCATAGTCAATCGATCAATAATATAATAATACTTCTAGCAAAAATGTTTATTTTCAATTTACGATCTGTAGAAACAATGAGAATAGAAAGGTTCAGAACTTTTGTAAAACATCACAGAACAGTTGAAAAATATATGGCAAATAGAATATAACACTTGTGAATGTAGGTACTGAGGCAAGAATGACCTTGTGTGAAAGCATGTTTTGGAAAGGGAATGTCTGTACATCATGAGTGTAAACTTGTAAAATGTGGTTTATCTCCATAGCCTGAAGGAGTTTCTACCCAAAGAGTACATCAAGCAGAGAGGGTCGGAGAAGAAAATATTTGTGGTATGTTCAGTATTATGCAATATGTTGTAGACATATGGATTCATATGTTATCAAAGGAAAATTAAAAGCTGTGAATTAAAAGCAATGCATTTCCCAAATTTGATATTGTTTAAACTCTAGGTTTCTATTGCTGTATCTATTTCCCTCTGACCCTCAGGATCACAAAACCTGTGGAGAAATGACAGAGATTGAGTCCAAAGTAAAGTATGTGAAACTAGCGAGGTCCCTTCCGACATATGGGGTCTCCTTCTTCCTGGTGAAGGTAAGATATAAGTAGAGAGGCTTGTGTTCTCCAACAGACAGTAAAATGAATGATTTACTGTGTAAATACAGCTTACTGCAAGGTTAAGATTAGGTTTGAGAGGTGTGTGTGTGTGTGTGTGAGAGAGGTGTGTGTGTGTGGTGTGTGTGTGTGTGTGTGTGTGTGTGTGAGAGGTGTGGGTGTTTGTGTGAGAGTGTGAGAGTGTGAGAGAGAGAGAGTGTGAGAGAGAGAGAGACGCTCACACAGAAACAACAGCCAAAAACATAGATATACTGTAGGTAAAGCACATTTTGGGAATTTATTGCAACCTTCCATTTGTTATGTGTCACTCTTAAACCAGCTCAGTGCTCCAGAACAAGCCTTCCATAACTGTAAGGATCTTAGATATGATCAAAGTTTATTGGTTGCGTACACAGTTTAGCAGGTGTTATAGCGGGTGCAGCTAAATGCTTATGTTACTAGCTCCTAACAATGCTGTAAAATGTCAAAAAATTAAAATGTTAGGGATTTTTTCCCCCTAAAAAATACAAGAAATCAAGAAACGTTGAATGAATGATATAGAAGGCCTGTCTGTGATGGTGGGACTACGGCCAATAAAAGCTCTCTGACATTAGTTCAACCTGTGCTGCTGTGAGTCCCGACCAGCAGGTGTTTAAAAACCTCACCAACTTGCCTTGTATGAAATACAAGCTTACTGATTTAAGATACTATCTCTAACATGGCAAACCACTTCAGATTCCAAAATCTGACTTCCTGAGTTGAATACACTGTGAACAACTACTTGAATAAGCTAAGACAATGAACAATTGAAATAGTTCTCTATACATAGCTACCATGATAATCAAGATAATGTTATCTGCCCTTGTATAAAAAGCATTGAGTCTGTTCAAGCTGCTCTAAAGCTGTTACCTTGTTCTGTTGTTGGAGCTCTACTTTTTGACCCTGAAATAAAAACAATAGCCTGGAGAAGTGAAAAGGTATTTTTCAACTCCCCTGTCCTCCTAACCATTAATTTTGTGTAGTGTTCAGCTTTGCTGGAGTGGAGCCAAGAGTAGGCTCATGTTCTGAAGTGAGGCGTAATGGATTGTGTGTGGGCAGAGAGGAGGAGGGCACTAGAGCCAGTCAGAGTCAGTGTGCTGCTGCTGGTGGAAGCTCCATCCTGCCACACTGACAGCCAGGTTGAGGCTCCCCTAGCAACAGAGGCCTAGCCTGGGGAAGGAGGGACTGGGGATGGCCTGTTCAGCAGAACAGCAGGGAGGCCCGGTTAAACAAGCCTGAACTCTGCAGGGTCAAACCCCATCCGCCCTCCTCCTCCTCCACTGGGGCTCCTGACTCAGGACAGACAAACAGAACAGCGCATGTGTGCTATCTATGGCAGGCAGCTTTGCTCTGCTGCTGTTTTCATTTCTCTGAGTAAAGAGATGCCCCCAGTTATTCATCTGTGTAGGCGTTGAACACCTATGAAAATATTGTCTCATGTCTTGTCTGTTAGGAAAAGTTGAAAAGCAAGAATAAGCTTGTCCCACGGTTACTGGGGATAACCAAAGAGTCGGTGATGCGGGTGGAAGAGAAGACTAAAGACGTGGTTCAGGAATGGCCCCTAACCACAGTGAAGAGATGGGCTGCTTCTCCCAAGAGCTTCACCCTGGTATGACCTGGTCTCAGTCCACTCCAATCCCACATTCACAGGAACACATTCTACACTCTTAAGGCTCACACACATCACACCGAATGTATATCTAGCATTCGTCTGGCGATCGTTCGGCGCGCTGTGTTTTAGGGACCACCCGCTGTAGACGTCTGACTGCCGCCATTTTTCACCGTGATTCTACATGGAATATTGGTGCGCAATTTACGTTCAGAGGTGCTAAGAACCCTCGGCCAGCAAACACTAGTGGTGTATCTGAGCCTTTAACCTCTCTTCTGTCCGTTACATCTCATTATAACAACAGAAATACACTATATATACAAAAGTATGTGGACACCCCTTCAAAATATTTCGGCCCGTTGCAGACAGGTGTAGTGTAACTGCAAAATAGTATGTGTTGTTGATACTACCCCCAATCCACAGTGTTATTGTGTTTTCTTTTCAATAAACAGTTATGTTAGTGTATATATTAGACTGTGTATACAAGGGATTTTACTGAAAGAATGTGAAGCACTTGGACGTTTTATTTATTTGAGTGCTTTTTCAATGTAGTATTTTGGTTGTTGTCAGCAGTGCTGTTTTTTTTGTTTGTTTGTTTTATCTCGGTTTATTAAGCCAGATTGCATTCAACTGAAATGAATAACCCATTTTAAGATTAATAGGGAGTACAATTTTTAAACATACTCGGAGGTACATTTGCCAACATTGATTTGAATGGAATATTACATTCCTGTCTCGCTTAGGAAGCCTTTGAAATGTGTGGAGTTATATATTGAAAACGAGTATGTCTCATATTTTATCAGCTCTTTGAAGAGTTCAGAATCGTAATGGAATGGAGTCAAAGTTTGTCTGTTCATTAGGAGAAGGAATGGTGAAGGTGTTGCCGACATACCATTAGTCCATTCAAAGCTTCTTTCTAAGCACTACCACATCTTCCTGTGCTTGTGTAGATGGAAAGGAACTTTGTGAAATTAGAGCGCAGCATGGCAAATAGCTGTGACACGTGAAAGTAGAAGGCCCTGGTTCAACCTTGATCTCTGAGAAAGCTGCTGTACTCCACATACGACAACACATACACTTCTCCATTTCCTAGAGGTATCACCAGAATACTATGAGCCTATGTACTGACAGATAGGGATTAGTTATGTGATGAAGTTATTGCTATGAGAGTAGTCCATTGTAGTGGGTCTGGACTGTAACTTCAGTATCTCTCCTGACAATCTGGTTGTACCCTGCAGGATTTTGGGGAGTACCAGGAGAGTTACTACTCTGTTCAGACCACAGAGGGGGAACAGATCTCTCAGCTGATTGCAGGATACATCGACATCATTCTCAAAAAGGCAAGTCAAAATAAACCAGAAATGAGCAAACCAGAAACACTTCCCACAAGTATTTTCTTTTGACACCTTTTGTTATTCCCTTCCACAGAAGCAGAGTAAGGATCGTTTTGGTTTGGAGGGAGATGAAGAGTCCACCATGCTGGAAGAATCTGTCTCTCCAAAGAAGTAAGGATCCCTCATACTGCACATACATAGGGTGCTGGCCTATTTACATTGATAATGCTGACCAGCCATATTCAGAGACTACAGACAAGTTATTCCTCATGTGAATGTAAACCTTGATTTTATTGTGCATATAATCACATTTCTGCCTGCCCGGCATTACACCCCTGAGAAAAATAACACGAAATGAGTTAGACTCTGCATCCTGAATTTCCAATAACATACAGTATCTGTGAGTTCATTTGTTCTCTGAAATATGATCACAGAATACCATCTGTCCCTCTCTCCTGAAGGAATATTAGCTTTTATTTGTATTTTCTCTAACCTCCATAAGAAAAATACCCCAGGGCAAGACAGCTATATTATTATTTTGCAAACAAAGATCATTTGTATCTACTTCCCCAGAATCAGATGAACTCGTGGAGACCATTTTTATGTTTTATGCGAGGGGGGGTGCATTGGGATTATTTAAAATACTCTTTGAAGAGGTAGGGTTTCAGATGTTTTCGAAAGATGGGCAGGGACTCTGCTGTCCTAGCTTCAGAGGGAAGCTGGTTCCACCATTGGGCTGACAGGACAGAGAAGAGCTTGGACTGGGCTGAGTGGGAGCGGGAGGGCCAAGAGACCAGAGGTGGCAGAACGGAGTGCTCGGGTTGGGGTATGAACGTAGTTTTGCAAGATTTTGCTAACTAGTGACTGGAAGTCTATGGGCATCTGCTAGTCAGTCATTACGCTAACACTAGTTTGCAATTGCGATAGTGCTAGTTATCAACTTCTTTCAAACTGCAAGCAGAGACATGAAAATGGTATCCACAAGTTATCTGACTCTGGGGAAGTAGATAAAGGGCCTCATTGGCAAAATCCTGAAGTATCCCTTTAACATGTAATTTCTTCTCATCTCAGATGATCACAGCTGCCTAGTTTTTATCTTTGCTTGGCCTTGCAGCTCGACTCCTACAGGATATCTAATACAGATAGACTGTTGTCCTGTCACCCCGAGCCCAGACACCGGTTGTTATTGGAAACCTGTTTGTCTCATAGCGGATCCTGCTGGGATAGACACTGGGCATCATATCACTCCCTACTGTTTAGGTGCCAATTGACTCATGTTTTGTTTCTCAGCACAGAACATAATTGCTGCCTCTCAAAATAAGCAGTAATTAACCAATAGTGAATGTGACAAACTGTTTACAGGGGCAGTGGAACAGCTCTTTTCATATCAGTACTAACTCACTGTTATGGCTCTGTTACTGCTGTCCTATTGTAATGGAGAAAATAATGAGTATTATGTTTCCTTATCAGAAGATGTCCTATAAAGGTCCTAACATCTCTCTCTCTCTCTCTCTCTCTCCTCTCTCTCTCTCTCTCTCTCTCCTCTCTCTCTCTCTCTCTCCTCTCTCTCTCTCTCTCTCTCTCTCTCTCTCTCTCTCTCTCTCTCTCTCTCTCTCTCTCCCCCTTCCCCCCTCTTCAGGTCGACCATCCTGCAGCAGCAGTTTAACAGGGTGGGTCGTGTGGAGCATGGCTCGGTGGCACTGCCAGGTATCATCCGCTCCGGGTCCATCGGTGGCCCTGACAACACCTTCAACATGGGCACCATGCCCTCTGCCCAGCAGCAGATTACCACAGGGCAGATGCACAGAGGACACATGCCCCCGCTGGTGAGCATGCCCGCTGGCACCCATGCCAATGTCACACAGTAGGAGCAGTGATGTGCAGAAAACCTTGCTTACACAATCACTAACTACGATCTTTGTCTGTTTGTACAAAAATCTTTAAAATGTGTGTGTGTTGTCAGAGCTTGGCCCAGCAGGCCCTGATGGGGACCATTAACACCAGTATGCAGGCAGTGCAGCAGGCCCAGGCTGATCTGGGGGAGGTAGATAACCTGCCTCCTCTTGGACAGGACATGGTGAGTTCCCTCCTCCATTCACTGGACTAATCCCCCTTCACACACCACAGCCACAAAATTACACCATTCAAAACTGCTCAACTTCTCCAACACTTTGAACCTTTTAGTCCACGCAGCCTAGTCAGTGAAGATTAATTCTATTTCTTTGTGTGTTTTTGGAAAATATATTTTTGTATCCCATTACATGTATTATTTTAAAGGTGCAAGTTTGGCGTTTTCCCTCGGTAGATGTGCTTAGCTAAGCATATAGAAGGGCTGACTTTATGTTAGTCTTTTTGAACTCCCATGTTTCACGTGTAATTAGGTGGTGGAAATTGACTGTAAATATGAAATATGCACTTTAAAGCTGGAAACTGGTGCTTCAATAGCTGTAGGAGTTGTGAAGAAGCCCTAGTCCTGATAACAAAATATATATGAGCTAAAACTCTCCCACTGTGATGAAAGCCAAAACCCATCCTTCTCTCTCTCCTGAAAGGCATCCAGAGTTTGGGTTCAGAACAAAGTGGATGAGTCCAAACATGAAATCCACTCTCAAGTAGATGCCATAACTGCTGGAACAGCATCTGTGGTCAATCTTACTGCAGGTGAGTGCCCAAGAGTTTCCTTACAGATGTTTGGAATCATGTAGAGTTTTCTGTTATATTTTCACTAGAATCCTTGTTTATAAAAGGCCTCTAGACTTAGCTCGAAAATGACCTATTAAAAATAACAGGCGCTTATCTTCAAGGGCAAAACCCACAGGGATAGAATCAATACACACATTTTCCAAGCCGATGTGGAACACCCAGAGAGGAGGGGTCTGAATTCCGTTTACATAATGGAACATTTCCCATTTGCCCTAATAAATATTTCCATTGATGAATAAATAGTGAGCGTGTTGTCCTGAAGCTTAACTAGCTGGCAGCCTCTCACTGCCTCCTGGCTGGAGCTGTGCCATGCTGCTCCACACTGCTCCCTGCCAGCCTTTCAATAGGTTTTAATCTTTCCCAGCCATCTGTTGAATGGCACTGAGGCTCCCTGTTATCATCCAATAGAAACTTTTACCTCTCCATAAATAACTATCACTTCTCTCTCTCTGTGCTTATCTCCACAATACCATATCCAATGTGTTTTCATTGTGATGATGGTGACACTGATGTGTGTATTATTATGGCATCACTCAGGTTGCTGCTTGCGGTTTGGGCTGAGAGAGTGGAAGAGTAGAAGGTATAAGAAAGGGTTAACGAGGACTGTCTCTCTTCCCTAGGTGACCCTACAGACACAGACTACACGGCGGTTGGCTGTGCCATCACCACCATCTCCTCCAACCTGACAGAGATGTCTAGGGGGGTGAAGCTTCTGGCAGCGCTGGTGGAGGACCAGGTGGGCAGCGGGCAGAACCTGATGGGAGCTGCCAGGACCCTGACAGGGGCCGTCTCTGACCTGCTCAGGTCTGTGGAGCCTGCAGCTGGAGAGGTACAGACACAACACAGCACTGTTCTACCCATTACATCTGCTCTATTCTCCTTATTACAATGATTACACAGAGATTGATACGGACTGTACTGCATGTGGACTCCCTTTTAACAAAGACACTAGTGTGTTTCTTTAGTATGTTTTCAAAACAATAATGATGTGTCCTGTAGAAATAATCACTGGGAGCTGGTGATGTGAACTGTATCTGAGAGCAGCGGAGTGCTGTGATTGTGCTGTGGTGTTGCAGTGGGGTCAGTGTTGTGAATGTGGTGATGTCACCCCCTCCCATGCAGCCCAGACAGACGGTGCTGACTGCAGCAGGAAGCATAGGCCAGGCCAGTGGGGACCTGCTGCATCATATGGGGGAGGGCGAGACCGACGAGAGGTTCCAGGTTGGACTGCACTTTACTCACTATTTCTATAGTACTGCTGCCAAACAGGGAAACACACATGTTCCCCCAGTCCCTGTTTAAAGCTTCACACACACTTATGTAATGGTATCAGGCTTTGTTTTCTTTAGCTATTGCAATTGAATGGAGAGCAAAAAGTCTGCTCAGCTCTGCTGTGAGTCAGTGAGTGACGTTGATGAATGTGTTACAGGACATTCTGATGAGCCTGGCCAAAGCGGTGGCCAACGCAGCTGCCATGATGGTCCTCAAGGCCAAGAATGTGGCCCAGGTGGCAGAGGACACTGTGCTGCAGAACCGAGTGATTGCAGCTGCTACTCAGTGTGCCCTTTCCACCTCACAGCTGGTGGCCTGCACCAAGGTACTGTCCTGACTGACTGCCACACCCCGGTTCCCTGTCTCCTGTTGCCATGGAGGACAGCTCAGGGCAAGGACTGTGATAAGAGAAGAGCTGTCTTACTGAAATGAAATGGCTGTGTGTTTGTCCTATCTCTTGATTTCTAGTACAGGATAGCGTATGCTAAATTAGTTATGTCAACAATAACATTATAATTCTTGTACACGCCAAAATGAGTCCCCTAGCATCTCTGAATGTGTCGTTTAATTTTGAGTGGCCAGTCGAGACTGATCGTGGACTGTGTTCGTCCAGGTGGTGAGCCCCACCATCAGTTCTCCGGTGTGCCAGGAGCAGCTGGTTGAGGCAGGGAAGCTGGTGGACCGCTCGGTGGAGACCTGCGTCAAGGCCTGCCTTTCTGCCACAGACCACGGGGAGCTCCTGAAGCAGGTGGGTGCCGCGGCCAACACGGTGAGCCAGGCACTCAGTGACCTGCTGCAGCACGTACGCCACTACGCCAGCTGTGGTGAGCCCATCGGACGCTACGACCAGGCCACAGACACCATCATGACCGTCACCGAGAGCATCTTCACGTCCATGGGAGACGCAGGTGAGCTCTGGGAGAGGAGGGGAGTGGAGGGGGGAGGGGAGTGGTTGAGCACTTTTTGGGAGGTGGGGAGAGAACTTTTCACTCTTGATTAATCTTGCAAGTATTTTCACATTCCTGGCCAGTTCTGGCATCCAGCTGTTTGAGTCTCAAACCTTTAGCTAGCTATTATTAAAGGACGTAAGAATTATCATTCAAGTAGACAGGACTGTCCAGCCTGTTTCTTGTCTTTTATTTTCTCTAGACTTTCACTGTGGTTGTTCCCATGTATTTTGACTGAGTGGGACCAAAGATGTTTTCTGGTTATGGTTTATATTAACTGACCTTCAATACCCTGCTATTGAAACATTTTCAAGGCCTGAAGTGTTTGTTATGGGTTGCCCATGAGTCTGAAGAATTCCCAACCCCAGCCAATCCTCAAGGGGTCGTAGAAAGCATGTCATCGAAAACCACTACAGAGCTTAAAATCTGCTCTCAATCACATTCAGTGCGGCTTTGAAATTTAACTGGAAACAAATGACCTTAAAATGTTTTATAGGGCTTAACACTCTGACTTTTGTAAAACATAGTCAAATAAAAACTGCAGTAGATCAGCCAAGTATCATTTATTATGAAATATGTCTTTAAAAGTCCCATTTCACTGATAGGGAAAAACATGTGTCTCTAAAGGCTGTAGGCTGTAAAGGACCCTGGATGTCATGCCTTTGATAGTCTTCTCTCCAGTTATTTCTAGCTGGAGGTGGGTGTTTAGCAATAACAGTTTTTATAGGCTGACTGGGGGAAATACAGTAGCTTCTATACAGCACTATAGAGGTTTTATAGTGCTTTTATTATTCTATTTCCTCACAGAAATACATATAAAGACAGATTAATTTTTTATAACCAGTGGGGAAGGCAAAATTAAACTGCTGTGATACTATCAGTATGATACCAGAAGGTGAAAAGGAAATCATGTAGTGTACTATTGTGTGTGAGGTCCAATGAGGGATCAGTAATCAGTGAGTTTATTCTAGGCCATGTTTCTGTGTAGATAGCACATTTGGGAGGTATTGACCCTGGCTCTGTCTCTCTCCTCTCTCTCTCTCTGACCCTGTGTAGGGGAGATGGTGCGTCAGGCCAGGGTGCTGGCTCAGGCCACCTCTGACCTGGTCAATGCCATGAGGTCAGATGCTGAGGCAGAGGTGGACGTGGACAACTCTAAGAAGCTGCTGGCTGCAGCCAAACTCCTGGCTGATGCCACGGCCAGGATGGTAGAGGCTGCTAAGGTACGGGTACGGGGACAACCACTATGCTAGCCTACTTAGAGTTCTAGGATAGATTGTTGTATGCCACTAGTGTGTAAACTGTACAGTATGCCATGTTAGTGTATTATCATTAGTGTCATGTCTGCAACTTAAACTAGAATTGTACTGCTGTCATTTGTTGGAAAGGAGATGTATAGTATTCCTAATGTAGTCTGGGCTGTAGCTTCTCTTTAGAGCTGAAATAATGAAAGGGCAGGACCAATGGTTCTTAATAAGCCCTTGGTGCTGTAGACAAGTATAAATGAGCAGGATATTATCAATGTAAAAACACAAGGCAAGTGAAACGATGCTTATGGCTTGTAAGATGCCTTTGATCTGTGACAGATTCATCACAACATTGCTGCTATTACAAAGAGGAAATGGGAATCTTGCACTGGCGGTTTCCTTGGAAACTGTCAGAAAGCAGAGTGTCTAATGCTGCTCTGCATTTAATGTACAGTCACAGTGTTGGGACATTTTTCAGAGTGCTAGTGAGACATTTAATGTACAGTCACAGTGTTGGGGGAAATGGTCAGAATGTTATTCAGACATTTAATGTACAGTCACAGTGTTGGGGAAATGTTCAGAGTACTACTGAGACTATGAAAGAGGGTTTGATATTCCCTTTGCCACTGCAGAACTATGATTGTAATTAGTGGTGCTTTTGCTTGTTGTGTCTGTGTGTGCCTGCGTGCATGTGTGTGTGCGTGAACAGGGAGCTGCAGCTTACCCAGAGAATGAGGACCAGCAGCAGCGGCTGAGAGAGGCAGCAGAGGGGTTACGTGTTGCCACTAACGCTGCAGCTCAGAATGCCATCAAGAAGAAGCTGGTCAACAGGCTGGAGGTGGGTTGGATGGAGAATGAGAGAATATTGTAACCTTTGTGCTAACTTTGAGTCCCTGTCCAGCTGTAGCTTTGTAGCAATGAACATTTGAGACTTTACACTAGTATGTCCTTTCTCACAAACAAACCCCATAAGTCCATCCAACACCATGACGCACCATTAAAGAGGAGAGTGTGTCAGACACCACTACCTAGATATGTGTGAAGATGCATAGATCCCCTCCCCCCAAGCCTTAGGAAAGAGCATAGCAAAAGAAAAATGTTGCACAAATTAGGTGTATTTAGCATATTCTCTACATTATTTCTGTTCCTGCAGCAGGAGTATGTGAATCCCATTATTTGTGTGAATGAGTTAATCGTAGTGTAAAGATCTGGGTTTAGCCCCTAGTATTAGTAGGCCCCTAATGACCAGACCCCCACTGCACTGGAGCTTCCACTGAACACACTAACCTAAGGCTGAATTCAGTTGGTTATCTGATGCATCTCTCTGTAGCCTGTAATACTAATGGGTTCCAGCCCAAAGAGGATGCAGAGATAATAAAAACAATTTAGAATTTAATGGGTTTAGATTAACTGACAGCATACCATCACCTGCCCATTCATATGGCTGAAATATCTCCTACTGATCTCCTAAAGCTTTGTATCTTTTGGGTTTCAACATTGCCATTTGTGTTGTGTCGCCCTTACCAGCATGCTCTGCTGTTAAGAGAATGCTAAATATGTAGTCTGTTTGTAGTTGATCTGTTTGTCTGTTTCACCAGAGAGAAATTAATTATCTCTCGCTCTCTCTCTCTCTCTCCCCCTCCCTCCATCCCTCCCCCTCTCCCTCTCCTCTTGAGAGATGTGCCAGACAGGCAACATTGTGCAGTCTGTTTGTTTTCCACAGGACAAAGATAGCATTGTTGTTCAGGTTCTTTTTCATCCTCCATCCTTCCACCCACAAAAGATGGAATCTCTTTTCTCTCGCCACTTTCCATTTTGTTGTTACTTCAAAGAAAGTAATCTGGGTGTGGATTAATGGCAATACAAAAAGTGTATTGTACAGTGCGTATGTATTGCATGTTGAGAAAATGTTGTCCTCATCCCAAAATACAGTATACAGTGGGGAAAAAAAGTATTTAGTCAGCCACCAATTGTGCAAGTTCTCCCACTTAAAAAGATGAGAGAGGCCTGTAATTTTCATCATAGGTACACGTCAACTATGACAGACAAATTGAGGAAAAAAAATCCTGAAAATCACATTGTAGGATTTTTAATGAATTTATTTGCAAATGATGGTGGAAAATAAGTATTTGGTCACCTACAAACAAGCAAGATTTCTGGCTCTCACAGACCTGTAACTTCTTCTTTAAGAGGCTCCTCTGTCCTCCACTCGTTACCTGTATTAATGGCACCTGTTTGAACATGTTATCAGTATAAAAGACACCTGTCCACAACCTCAAACAGTCACACTCCAAACTTCACTATGGCCAAGACCAAAGAACTGTCAAAGGACACCAGAAACAAAATTGTAGACCTGCACCAGGCTGGGAAGACTGAATCTGCAATAGGTAAGCAGCTTGGTTTGAAGAAATCAACTGTGGGAGCAATTATTAGGAAATGGAAGACATACAAGACCACTGATAATCTCCCTCGATCTGGGGCTCCACGCAAGTTCTCACCCCGTGGGGTCAAAATGATCACAAGAACGGTGAGCAAAAATCCCAGAACCACACGGGGGGACCTAGTGAATGACCTGCAGAGAGCTGGGACCAAAGTAACAAAGCCTACCATCAGTAACACACTACGCCGCCAGGGACTCAAATCCTGCGTGTCCCCCTGATTAAGCCAGTACATGTCCAGGCCCGTCTGAAGTTTGCTAGAGTGCATTTGGATGATCCAGAAGAGGATTGGGAGAATGTCATATGGTCAGGTGAAACCAAAATAGAACTTTTAGGTAAAAACTCAACTCGTCGTGTTTGGAGGACAAAGAATGCTGAGTTGCACCATACCTACTGTGAAGCATGGGGGTGGAAACATCATGCTTTGGGGCTGTTTTTCTGCAAAGGGACCAGGACGACTGATCCGTGTAAAGGAAAGAATGAATGGGGCCATGTATCGTGAGATTTTGAGTGAAAACCTCCTTCCATCAGCAAGGGCATTGAAGATGAAACGTGGCTGGGTCTTTCAGCATGACAATGATCCCAAACACACCGCCCGGGCAACGAAGGAGTGGCTTCGTAAGAAGCATTTCAAGGTCCTGGAGTGGCCTAGCCAGTCTCCAGATCTCAACCCCATAGAAAATCTTTGGAGGGAGTTGAAAGTCCGTGTTGCCCAGCGACAGCCCCAAAACATTACTGCTCTAGAGGAGATCTGCATGGAGGAATGGGCCAAAATACCAGCAACAGTGTGTGAAAACCTTGTGAAGACTTACAGAAAACGTTTGACCTGTGTCATTGCCAACAAAGGGTATATAACAAAGTATTGAGAAACTTTTGTTATTGACCAAATACTTATTTTCCACCATAATTTGCAAATAAATTCATTAAAAATCCTACTATGTGATTTTCTGGAATTTTATTTCTCATTTTGTCTGTCATAGTTGACGTGTACCTATGATGAAAATTACAGGCCTCTCTCATCTTTTTAAGTGGGAGAACTTGCACAATTGGTGGCTGACTAAATACTTTTTTCCCCCACTGTATATACACTACCATTCAAAAGTTTGGACACACCTACTCATTCAAGGGTTTTTCTTTATTTTTAATATTTTTTACATTGTAGCATAATAGTGAAGACATCAAAACTATGAAATAACACATATGGAATCATGTAGTAAACAAAAAAGTGTTAAACAAATCCAAATATATTTTATATTTGAAATTCTTCAAATAGCCACCCTTTTCCTTGATGACAACTTTGCACACTCTTGGCATTCTCTCAACCAGCTTCACCTGGAATGCTTTTCCAACAGTCTTGAAGGAGTTCCCACATATGCTGAGCACTTGTTGGCTGCTTTTCCTTCACTCTGCGGTTCGACTCATCCCAAACCATCTCAACTGGGTTGAGGTCAGGGGATTATGGAGGCCAGGTCATCTGATGCAGCACTCCATCACTCTCCTTCTTGGAAAAATAGCCCTTACACAGCCTGGAGGTGTGTTGGGTCATTGTCCTGTTGAAAAACAAATGATAGTCCCACTAAGCCCAAACCAGATGAGATGGTGTATCGCTGTAGAATGCTGTGGTACCATGCTGGTTAAGTGTGCCTTGAATTCTAAATAAATTACAGACAGTGTCACCAGCAAAGCACCCCCACACCATAACACCTCCTCCATGCTTTGCGTTGGGAAATACACATGCGAAGATCATCCGTTCACCCACACCGCGTCTCACAAAGACACAGTGGTTGGAACCAAAAATCTCCAATTTGGACTCCAGACCAAAGGACAAATTTCCATCAGTCTAATGTCCATCCTTTCCTGTCTGTGGTGGTCCTCATGAGAGAATACCAAGAGTGTGCAAAGCTTTTGTTATTGACCAAATACTTATTTTCCACCATAATTTGCAAATAAATTCATTAAAAATCCTACAATGTGATTTTCTGGATTTCTTTTCATCATTTTGTCTGTCATAGTTGACGTGTACCTATGATGATAATTACAGGCCTCTCTCATCTTTTTAAGTGGGAGAACTTGCACAATTGGTGGCTGACTAAATACTTTTTTCCCCACTGTATATGAGACAATTACTTGTTTACTATTCTAATTACGTTAGTAACCCGTTTATAATAGCAATCAGGCATCTCTGGGGTTTGTGGTTTGTGGCAAATATATCACGACTAAGGGCTGTATCCAGGCACTGTATCCAGGGCTGTATCCAGGTTCTTACGCGTCGTGCGTAAGAACAGCCCTTAGCCGTGGTATATTGGCCACCTACCACAAACCCCTGAGGTGCCTTAATTATACCACCCTCATCTATGGTTCTGATGTAAAACACGTACCTACAACAATCTCTGTCAATATCTCTCTCTGTTTCTGGAACAGATTGCTGCTAAGCAGGCTGCGGCTGCTGCTACTCAGACCATCGCAGCTGCCCAGAACGCTTCTGCATCCAATAAGAACACTGCCTCTCATCAACAACTAGTACACAGCTGCAAGGTACAGTAATATGGATAGAGATTGAGCCACAGCGAGCAGGATCACTGTTAGATCACTTTGGTGAAATACCTACAGTATTGAACCGATTGCTACATTGGCAGCATTTATATTGCAGGTTTCATTACATTGTTTTAATCAAATGATATGTGTACTTGTAGGCAGTGGCAGACCACATCCCTCAGCTGATCCAGGGGATGAGGAGTAGTCAGGCTCAGCCAGAGGAACTCAGTGCCCAACTAGCCCTCATCATGGCCAGCCAGAGCTTCCTACAGCCTGGCAGTAAGATGGTGACGTCTGCAAAGTCAACCGTCCCCACGGTGACAGACCAGGCTGCAGCGATGCAACTTGGCCAATGTGCCAAAAATCTGGCAACCTGCCTAGCTGAGCTACGGACAGTCACCCAAAAGGTAAGTTCTGTACCCACAGGCGTAGCACACACCCCCGCACACACCCATGCAGCCCACAAGTTTTCAGGGCCCCCAATCCATGAGCTCTAAAACAGCAACATTTTCTCTCAGCCAGACAGCAAAATGTGGAAAATAGCATGATATTTGCTATAAAACTGAAAAATGTTCTCTCTGCCACATAGCGAAAATGAGCTACGCCACTGCCTGTACCCACAGCTACTGATGGTCATGTTTTCATACAGGACACACAGCCTCTGGGCTCTGTGTGAGAAAGGTTTGTGTCTATGTGCTTCTGCAGGCTCAAGAAGCCTGTGGTCCTCTGGAGATAGACTCTGCCCTCAGTGCAGTCCAAACTCTGAGGAGTGAGCTTCAAGATGCCAGGATGGCTACGCACGATGGGCAGCTCAAACCACTTCCTGGGGAATCGGTCAGTTCATTGTAGAATACATTGATTTGTTCCAATCATGCAAAGCAAATCTGCAGATGTGTGAAAAGGCGTGACTTGGTGCTCTTGTGTCGTCCCTACAGCTAGAGAAGTGTGCTCAGGACCTGGGTAGTACCTCCAAGGCTGTTGGCTCCTCCATGGCTCAGCTGCTGACCTGTGCTGCACAGGGCAATGAGCACTACACAGGTAGGAAAGCAAACAGAGTGCGCTGAGAATGATTGAGTAGTACAAGAGGAATGTTCACCTAAACTTATGGCAGACTTCATTGAGTAGCTGTGTAGAATGTTTTTGCTCGACTAGACTTAGTTAGATGTTATTATTTGACATTACAGTTTGCAAAATGTCACGATCAGCTACAGGGTCTCAGTAAAGCTCTACTCTACTAAGTGGGGTAAGAGAGGATATAAAGTAGGTAGCAGAATCCCGAACAATCATTCACTTTCCCTCCACCAATAGATATCAAAGTGTAATTCAATTTTTGATTTAGTGATGTTGTTATCACTATTGCCTATGAGCAAGCAATAAACCCAATGGGTCCTGCTGCACAGCTTGACATTTTCTTTAGCCTCCATTCTAGCTCCATTTAGTCTCTCAGGAGAATTGATAAAGACAGATTTGAATAGTGTATTCTAACAATGGCTGCTCCCTCCCTCCCAGGCTGTGCTGCTTCACATTGGGGCACAGGGTGCTACTCTCTCCTCATTCATCTTATTTTTACTAGATTTAACTTTCCATCAGCAATGGGCTCCACTCGGCTGGATAATGAAATTTGATGCAATTTGCTGCATTCCCTCATCTCAGCTTTGTGTGTAATAAGTAAAGCCCCAATCCCACATGGTGCCTCGTTCTCCTATCTATCTAATTTGTTTTAACAATAGGGGTGCTTTAGGTTGGGCTCGCTGTGCTATTCCTACTGTTCAGTTACACATTACCAACAACTCGTTCTATTCATTTTAAGCACTAAAGCTTCACCTCTGAATGTGTGTATGTCTTAATGCAGGACATATTTAGTGACGTGATAATGAGATTGAAATGAAGTAAGATTCAGCTTGGAGTTTGTCTAATGAATAAATCATGATGTAGCTATCCAGAGTCAGTAGGTTGTTTAACTGCATCTTAAAGAACAATGATGAGGTACAGTGGGACGTTGACACCAGGTTTTCCATAATTATTTCCTGGACTAGCTTTGTTATTCCAACTCCAAGACTTCCACTCACTCCAACACTGTCTGTCTGTCGCTATCGTGTGTAGGAGTGGCTGCCAGGGAGACTGCCCAGGCCTTGAGGACGTTGGCCCAGGCAGCCAGAGGTGTCGCGGCCAGCACTAAGGAACCCCAGTCTGCGGCGGCCATGTTGGATTCTGCCCAGTACGTCATGGAGGGCTCTGCCATGCTCATCCATGAGGCCCACCAGGCCCTGGTCTCCCCCGGCGACGCAGAGAGTCAGCAGAGGCTGGCACAGGTGAGGAACTCCTGACATGCTGACCAGACAGCTCACGTCACGTGCGTTGCAAAATAAATGTATACATACATGTTATTGAATCATTGCATCCAAACTGCTCGCGCGTGTCAACAAGCCAGGCGCTAAAATAGAACTTGGTTCCATTTGTGACGCTTGAAGCGCTGTAAGTCCCGCCTCTCCCATCTCCTCATTGGTTTTTAGGAGCATATACCCACATGGATGATTGAAAGATGAACTGAGGTCCACACTCCAGTCCAGTATGTGGTGGTAATGCACCTTAAAGTTGGTTGCCAACTGCCATAAAAAGTCCAAAGAAGAAGAAGAAGCCTGAAGGAGGAGACATTACTAGAAACTAACTCGGTTTACCCTTTTATCTGTGGATTAATTGTCGGAGTAGAGGACCTTGTGTATTTCAGGTAAAATAACAACCCAATGTTTATATCCCAGGACATATTAGCTAGCAACAGAAAGCTAGCGAGCTAAATTGTCATGAATGTTTAATGCTTTTCAAGCTGTCCTCAAATTAATATAGATGGTTCAGAGATTGTTTTTGATATTTCAACCTGCGTGTCCTGATCGCGTCTGCTATTGAAAGGACAGAGTCAACATCAAATCAAATTTTATTTGCCACATTTGCCGAATACAACAGGTGTAGACCTTACAGTGAAATGCTTACAAGCCCTTAACCAACAAAATAAGTGTTAAGTAAAAAATAGATAAGTAAAAAATACAAAATATCAAATAATTTGTCGGAGGGCATAGCGGGATTTCTTATAATTTCTTTAAAGCGGCAACTCTACCCTTTACCTCAGTGCGGATGTTGCCTGTAATCCATGGCTTCTGGTTGGGGTATGTACGTACGGTCACTGTGGACGACATCATCGATGCACTTATTGATGAAGCCAATGACTGATGTGGTGTACGCCCTCAATGCCATCGGAAGAATCCTGGAACATATTCCAATCTGTGCTAGCAAAACAGTCCTGTAGCTTAGCATCTGCGTCATCTGACCACTTCTTTATTGACCGAGTCACTCGCGTTTTCTGCTTTCATTTTTGCTTGTAAGCAGGAATCAGGAGGATAGAATTATGGTCAGATTTGCCAAATGGAGGGTGTGGGAGAGCTTTGTATGCGTCTCTGTGTGTGGAGTAAAGGTGGTCTAGAGCTTTTTTTCCTCTGGTTGCACATTTAACACGCTGGTAGAAACGAGGTAGAACAGATGTAAGTTTCCCTGCATTAAAGTCCCCGGCCACTAGGAGCGCTGCTTCTGGATGAGTGTTTTCCTGTTTGCTTATGGCCTTATACAGCTCATTAAGTGCAATCTTAGTGCCAGCATCGGTTTGTGGTGGTAAATAGACAGCTACGAAAATTTGAGATGAAAACTCTCTTGCTAAATAGTGTGGTCTACAGCTTATCATGAGATACTCTACCTAAGGCGAGCAAAACCTTGAGACTTCCTTAGTATTAGATTTCGTGCACCAGCTGTTGTTTACAAATATACACAGACCGCCACCCCTTGTCTTACTGGAGTCAGCCGTTCTATCCTGTCGATGTAGCGTATATCCCGCCAGCTGTATGGTGTCCATGTCGTCATTCAGCCACGACTCTGTGAAACATAAGATATTACAGTTTTTAATGTCCCGTTGGTAGGATATCCTTGATCTTAGGTCGTCCATTTTGTTTTCCAATTATTGTACGTTGGCTAATAGGACGGGTGGAAGAGGCAGATTACTAGCTCGCTGTCGGATCCTTACAAGGCACCCCGACCTACGTCCACGATATCTCTGTCTCTTTCTCATGCGAATGACGGGGTTTGGGGCCTTGTCGGGTGTCTGTAGAATATCCTTTGCTTCCGACTCGTTGAAGAAAAAATCTTCGTCCAATACGAGGTGAGTAATCGCTGTCCTGATATCCAGAAGCTCTTTTTGGTCATAAGAGACGGTGGCAGAAACATTATGTACAGAATAAATTACAAATAACGCAACAAAACACACATAATAGCACAATTGGTTAGGGGGCCGTAAAACGGCAGCCATCTCCTCCGGCGCGATGGCGCACGCACGCGCCCGGTCTAGTCAGCATGACAGATTTCCTGTATTGACGTCCTACTCAGACAGTAGTTAATGTTCCAAGCACAGTGTTTTCTGTCAGGCTCTTTCCTCTCCTCTGCATTCTGGCTGATAACCGATTTGTAAACCCTGCTACTTTTCATAACAATTATCTGCTTTAAGGGTTGCTATTTTCTCTTCTCAGTCTCCTGCTTAGCGATCCTCTCACAGTTCTGTTAGCTCCAGTAAAACTGCTTATTTGCAGCGGGGCCCTTTGGGAGATAAACATATTGGTTGGCATATGTCTGTGACGGTAGCATATATTAGTGACATGGATTGTCGTGCTCCGCTTGCAGGCTGATTTGCATTTAAGATGTTTTTCCTTCTCAGAGCTGTGCTCTGGGACTATGGAGCGTGGTTAGAATATGTAATGTCAGCCCACTGACTGGCTGATCTGTGCTGTGTTGCAGGTGGCCAAGGCAGTGTCCCACTCTCTGAATAACTGTGTGAACTGCCTGCCTGGCCAGAAGGATGTGGACATGGCCCTAAGAAGCATCGGAGAGGCCAGCAAGAAGCTGCTGGTGGACACTGTGAGTCCTGCTGCCATACCGGCGAGGCTGCAGTTTGGAGTGTTGACGTTTTATTACGCATCTGAACATGAGTGCTTATAGAGGGTCAAGTCAATGCTGTCCTCAACCTTAACACACATTTGGCATATATTACCTCTAGTCATTAATCATCTACACAGACATTTCACAACTATCCAGGGAAAAATGTAACATAAACATAACACAAATACCATACGGATTATGATGTAACAAATGATACCGATGAAAATGTACGGACTACTATACTTGTGTTTTTCCTGTGTCTCTCCAGCTCCCCCCCTGCAGTAAGTCATTCCAGGACGCTCAGAGTGAGCTGAACCATACTGCTGCAGAGCTCAACCACTCAGCAGGGGACGTGGTCCATTCCTCCCGGGGTACCAGCAACCAACTGGCCGTGGCTTCTGGGAAATTCAGTGAGGACTTTGATGAGTTCCTGGACGCCGGTGTTGAGATGGCCGGACACACTCAAGTAGGTATCATTATCTGTAGCAGGTCCCAACAGCCCCATATAAATATCTGATTAATCTCCCTGTGAAATAGGTGTGGATAAATGTTATGACACCTGAATATACTGTTGGTAGACAGGAGCAGTTTAGATTTAATAGGATAAAATGGAAATGCCTCTGAGCTAGTCATGTTGAGTAGCTTCACATTTTTCTGTCGCTTGAGCACTTAAGCTATTTTGATTCATTTGTTAATTAGTCCTTTTCATCTAATTCACTTAGGCACATGATTGTCCCTGAGAGCGCTAACACAGTCAGACGTGATGAGATCTTTGATGATGTTCTGGTTATTTTGCTCATTAATTTGGATAGATTGTGTAGGAGAGCAGTTGATGTAGCATGACACACAGGCCTTAATCAGGCTTAAATGAATAGGGGACTGGCTGGCTGAGGTGGGGGACACCATTCACATGATGCCAGTTTCATAGGCCATTCCACCAGATAGACAGTGTGACAGTTGTTGACAATACGTACAGTTTCATTTTCCTGGAAAGATGTGACTTGAATAACATGTTGACCACACACACATATTCTATTCTAAGAAACAGCTGAGTTGTCTTGTGACTTTGTCTTTGCAGTCCCAAGAGGACCAAATCCAAGTGATTGGCAACCTGAAGAACATCTCCATGGCATCCAGCAAGCTCCTTCTGGCAGCCAAGTCCCTGTCAGTGGATCCTGGAGCAGCTAACGCCAAGAACCTGTTAGCTGCTGCAGCAAGGTGAGGCCACTCTATATGGAGCTGAATGGCATATAAGAATGTCTCTTATCACAACCTAGTTGAGTATAAGGAGGGTCTACATTAAGCACAAAGTAAGACTGTAAGGAGTGACTATATTAAGTCAGTTAGAACAAAAACATATTCATATACTGTATATTCTGACCCAGTTTCCATTCAAAGCCACATAAAACAAGTACACTACTATCATAGTTTATATCCATGCTATGAAACATCTCTGCTTCTCACAGGATGTTGCTAGGCTGAGAGATAGACAGAGATAGTAGGGTAGAATCCCCCCTGGTGGAGAGATGGCAGGTAGCTGGCCCCGCTGGGCTTTGGGCCTGACTGACTTCCCTCTCTTTAATTAGGCAGATGGAAGCCATGGCTGGAGCTTGTCTGTGATCACTAAGCGCAGCCTCCACACTCCTGTACAGTGTTAGATTGTCACAGGGAGAGATGGGCGATGGGCTCTGCCATGCATGTGTAAAGTAGAAGTGTATGCGTGTGTGTGTATATAGAGAGATGTGAGCGCTAAAAAGCCGTGTGCTGCTGCTCTTGTGTTTCAGAGCGGTGACAGAGAGCATTAATCAGCTCATCACACTGTGTACCCAGCAGGCACCGGGCCAGAAGGAGTGTGACAACGCTTTGAGAGAACTGGAGGTAGCCGTTTTACTGTACACTACACAACCCTTTTTATGTTCATGCTAGCTAATATTCATGTTTATTTCAGTCTACACAAAATAAAGGGTTTTGATGTAGTAACTTTTTGTCCCCCACGATGAAATCAGGGAGGGAACTGTGGATTTGCCTCCATCTGTTAGTACATTTGTAAGTTCATACATTAGTCACATGTGATATCTCAGACAGCACTGGCCCGATGTTGTCAAAACTTGGGGGAATGATGCGTCTTGCCATAGAGATCCATCATTTACAAAATTACGCATATTGGCTCAAGGGGGGGGCTGCGTCATTCGTGGGGTATGAGATATTTACTGCTGCCTTGTTTTGTGTTGATTTGAATCCTGAAAAAGCAATGGTTTTCCATTACAATTCATTAATTGGGATGATATTTAACGGCTGAATGAGATGCATGTTGCTGAGGGTTTCTGTATTGACATTATTTCATGCACAGCATTGCTCTGTCTCCATGGGGAATAATTACCAAGTCGTTTACTTCCTCTGTGCCTTGAGCCCCTTCAGCCCATGTCCCCTCCTCTTCACGCTTTCTGATATTTATTATCGGTCTCTCTCTGTATCCCTTCTGCTTAACATTGAATGACAGTCACCATTAATTTCAACCCCTGGAGTACCACTAATGATGCTTTCATGTAACTCACAGATCTGTGGGTTATTCTCCTAAATTATTAAGTAATAAAGCTTGGCGACATGACTTCCCTCTATAAGTTAAAGATTAACATGACTTCAAAACAGACCGATTAAAAACAGTTGGACTTGTTTTTCATGTAGCACACATTTTAATTCCCCCAAGTTGGCTATCAGATTGGTTCAGTAGTTTGTGCTCTCCTTATTGTTGAGCCCCTCTCCCGCTGCGTACAGGCTGTGAGAGGATTGCTGGAAAACCCCAGTGAGCCTGTCAGTGAGCTCTCCTACTTTGACTGCATCGAGAGCGTCATGGAGAACTCAAAGGTAAAGCCTTACAAAACAATCACATGCATCATAGACTTTAAATGTCAGTGATATATAATGGAATAGACAGTTGAAGAGGTAATCTTACAGTTTATTTCTATTTCCACATGTGCAGGTTCTTGGAGAGTCCATGGCGGGGATTTCCCAGCACTGTAAGACGGGCAACGTGCCAGCGTTTGGGGATTGTGTGGGGGTGGCGTCCAAGGCCCTGTGTGGGTTGACGGAGGCGGCTGGACAGGTGAGATCCCAGGCTAGTACTGACTGACTGGCTGGAGCTTCCAGCCTCCCTCCCACTCCTCCCTGCTATCAGGTCTGAGTCTGAGTCTGAGTCTGAGTCTGAGTCTGAGTCTGAGTCTGAGTCTGAGTCTGAGTCTGAGTCTGAGTCTGAGTCTGAGTCTGGGTCTGGGTCTGGGTCTGGGTCTGGGTCTGGGTCTGGCACACAACCAACACTCTATCAGCTCTAGACCTATATTCATGTTTAGTTACAGCACCTACATGCACCTCTCCCTAAAGCAGAAACGAAGCCATGAGCATTCCCCTCTCTCCTTCTCCCCACACTGCAGGCCTCCTACCTGGTGGGTGTGTCCGATCCAAACAGCCAATCTGGTCATGAGGGCTTGGTGGATCCAATCCAGTTTGCTAGGGCCAACCAAGCTATTCAGATGGCCTGTCAAAACCTGGTGGACCCAGCCAGCAGCCCCTCTCAGGTGAGAAGACCAATGTAGAGAGACATTTATTGACATATTGAGTCTATTATACGAATAGTGACTTAATCAAATGGATTATTACATTTGAACATCAACATCACATCAAACTTCTTCCCACCATATGCCTCTTTAGAGAAATGTTTATACTGCTTTGTTTGTCGTTTGGTTGTTTGTTTGTTAGGTTCTGTCTGCAGCAACGATTGTAGCCAAGCATACCTCAGCTCTTTGCAATGCCTGCCGCCTGGCCTCGTCCAAGACATCCAACCCTGTGGCCAGGAGACACTTTGTTCAGTCAGCCAAAGAGGTTGCCAACACCACAGCCAACCTTGTCAAAACTATAAAGGTATGTGTACTCTCTGCCATGGTCCACTCATAAATGGGATTCTTGTCCTTTGTGCCTTCAGCAAAAGTAGATTTATTGATGTTCTCTGTTTCACTTAAAATATTTCCATCATTTGTAATGAAGACAGATGGCTATATTGTGTAGCTGAGTTGGGGTGTTGGCTAAGGAGGTCATGACCTGTTGTTTTCTTCCAGGCCTTGGATGGGGACTTCTCAGAGGAGAACAGAAACAGATGCCGTGTCGCGACAACTCCACTCATCGAGGCTGTAGAGAATCTATCCACATTTTCCTCCAACCCAGAGTTTGCTAGTATCCCTGCACAGATCAGCAATGAGGTTATTGTGCGATATATAAGCTCTTCAATGACAATGTGTATTTTCACTATCTGTATGAAAATGTAAATGCACATCTTGCTCAGAGTACTATTTTTTATCTCCTAAGAGATTTCTTCAGCCTACAGTGTCACGTTGTTTTATTTGTCTGGTTCCTCATACAGTGGGGGAAAAAAGTATTTAGTCAGCCACCAATTGTGCAAGTTCTCCCACTTAAAAAGATGAGAGAGGCCTGTAATTTTCATCATAGGTACACGTCAACTATGACAGACAAATTGAGAAAAGAAAATCCAGAAAATCACATTGTAGGATTTTTTATGAATTTATTTGCAAATTATGGTGGAAAATAAGTATTTGGTCACCTACAAACAAGCATGATTTCTGGCTCTCACAGACCTGTAACTTCTTCTTTAAGAGGCTCCTCTGTCCTCCACTCGTTACCTGTATTAATGGCACCTGTTTGAACTTGTTATCAGTATAAAAGACACCTGTCCACAACCTCAAACAGTCACACTCCAAACTACACTATGGCCAAGACCAAAGAGCTGTCAAAGGACACCAGAAACAAAATTGTAGACCTGCACAAGGCTGGGAAGACTGAATCTGCAATAGGTAAGCAGCTTGGTTTGAAGAAATCAACTGTGGGAGCAATTATTAGGAAATGGAAGACATACAAGACCACTGATAATCTCCCTCGATCTGGGGCTCCACGCAAGATCTCACCCCGTGGGGTCAAAATGATCACAAGAACGGTGAGCAAAAATCCCAGAACCACACGGGGGGACCTAGTGAATGACCTGCAGAGAGCTGGGACCAAAGTAACAAAGCCTACCATCAGTAACACACTACGCCGCCAGGGACTCAAATCCTGCAGTGCGAGACGTGTCCCCCCTGCTTAAGCCAGTACATGTCCAGGCCCGTCTGAAGTTTGCTAGAGTGCATTTGGATGATCCAGAAGAGGATTGGGAGAATGTCATATGGTCAGATGAAACCAAAATAGAACTTTTTGGTAAAAACTCAACTCGTCGTGTTTGGAGGACAAAGAATGCTGAGTTGCATCCAAAGAACACCATACCTATGTGAAGCATGGGGGTGGAAACATCATGCTTTGGGGCTGTTTTTCTGCAAAGGGACCAGGACGACTGATCCGTGTAAAGGAAAGAATGAATGGGGCCATGTATCGTGAGATTTTGAGTGAAAACCTCCTTCCATCAGCAAGGGCATTGAAGATGAAACGTGGCTGGGTCTTTCAGCATGACAATGATCCCAAACAAACCGCCCGGGCAACGAAGGAGTGGCTTCGTAAGAAGCATTTCAAGGTCCTGGAGTGGCCTAGCCAGTCTCCAGATCTCAACCCCATAGAAAATCTTTGGAGGGAGTTGAAAGTCCGTGTTGCCCAGCGACAGCCCCAAAACATCACTGCTCTAGAGGAGATCTGCATGGAGGAATGGGCCAAAATACCAGCAACAGTGTGTGAAAACCTTGTGAAGACTTACAGAAAACGTTTGACCTGTGTCATTGCCAACAAAGGGTATATAACAAAGTATTGAGAAACTTTTGTTATTGACCAAATACTTATTTTCCACCATAATTTGCAAATAAATTCATTAAAAATCCTACAATGTGATTTTCTGGATTTTTTTTCTCATTTTGTCTGTCATAGTTGACGTGTACCTATGATGAAAATTACAGGCCTCTCTCATCTTTTTAAGTGGGAGAACTTGCACAATTGGTGGCTGACTAAATACTTTTTTTCCCCACTGTATATTCTGTAATAAAAACGAGACGGCAAAGCTACTCCTACAGATTCCATGAATACATTGGTGACTACGGCATTCAATCCCCTTGAAATATCCCCTCCGATATAGAGCCAGTACAGAGTCGTTTGTGCAGGAAAGCTGGCGGGATTGGTTTGATGTACTATTTCCCTCTAATTTATTTAATGTTGGGAAATGGCTCAAGGAGAAATTGGATGTATTTTATGTTACAATCTAGCAGAAAGAGTCCTCACACAGCCCTAAAAGCTTTGACTGTTATCTGTTGGAGGGCAGTGTTTAACTGCCCTCTCTCTCAGCACAGCTGCTCTAATCTTCAGCATGTTAGTCTAATTGTCGAGGGAGGCTTTGGCTGCCATCATAAAGACTGAAGGTGTGCCTCTGCGTCTCCGTGTAAAGCAGAATAATATGAATAATAAGAGATCAGTGACAGCTGTGTAGTGTGTTGCTATTGAGCTGTTAGTTAGAGGCTCTTTAACCTGTGTTGTTTTATCACCTTCACTGTCCTCCCCTCTCTCCCTCTCTCCCATTTCCAGGGCTCGGCAGCCCAGGAGCCCATCATGCGTTCAGCCTGCTCCATGCTGGACAGCTCCACCCTGCTCCTGGAGACCGCCCGCTCGCTCATCATCAACCCCAAAGACCCGCCCACCTGGTCAATCCTGGCTGGGCACTCCCGCACCGTCTCTGACTCCATCAAGAGCCTCATCACCTCCATCAGGTCAGCACAGACCCCTCTGGTTCTGCACTCTGGTGCTCTGGGTATTATCCTGTTAAGGCCTTGCCTGATAACTCACCCTGAATAGAATTCCACTGCTCTATCGATCGCTACATACATTCAGTCTGAATCTGCCATCCTAGAAGTTGTTTGTATGACTTCAAAAGTGAAGGGCGTTGTACAAAAAAAAAAAATCAACGATTGGATCGTCTTTAAGAAATCTATCCAATCAGAGTATCAAAGTTGATAACAAATCAAAACAGTCAGAATGTGACAAGGTGTAAAATACAGAAGTCCAGAGTTTAATCCGTTTGCATAAATCAAATGTCCCAAGTGTCAAACGAAACTGTACAAGGGAAAACATCGACCTTGGCAATAACACAGCTCAACCGAGCTACACGCTCTCACAACAAAACAATCACTCACAAAGACAAGGGGAACAGAGGGAACACTTATACACATACTAATTAGGGGAATGAGCACCAGGTGTGTGTGACTGACAAGACATGACAAGTGGAGTGATGAGAATGGGATCGGCAGTAGCTAGTACTCCGGTGACGACGAACGCCGAAGCCTGCCCGAACAAGGAGGGGGGGCAGCCTCGGCGGAAGTCGTGACACAGAATGTGTTTGCATTCTAGAAATCGTAGGGGAGGGAGGAAAATCCAGACTCATGGTGGAGAAAAACGTCAGTTTGGCCAGAGCTATGGGGATGGGTAGCCAGGCTGGGTATGGGGGAGTTCAGCTATCTCTGAGTAACTGTCAGTTCCACTGAGTGGTGAGTTGTCAAGGTAATTTATGGTGGCTGGGTTTCCACCTCCCATTTAATATGAAGAGGAATGCTCTAGGGCACTGATAAAGATGAGTAGGCAGAGTTCCGTGGAGGATCTGCTGTGCTGCTGGTGCTGCTTTGACCGCTTTCTTATACTGAGAAAGTCCCTCCTGCTGTTTTGAATAGAAGTGTCTCCCCTCATTATCTCACACCCACAGAGTAACTTGCCCCTTAGCTACAGAACATTTTGCATCTGGTCAACCTCTAGAGACCATGTTTGCAAAAAGTGTACCTAGTATACATGATTTCCCTTCTTTGAGGTCCTGTGATAATGCATTGAAAACCTGCTTGTAGAAGTACTGCCCATCACTAGCCGGCTACCAACCGGTTACTCAACCCTGCACCTTAGAGGCTGCTGCCCTATATACAAAGACATGGAATCACTGGCCACTTTAATAATGGAACACTAGTCACTTTAATAATGTTTACACACTGCTTTACTCATCTCATATGTACAGTACCAGTCAAAAGTTTGGACACACCTACTCATTCAAAGGTTTTTCTTTATTTTTACTATTTTCTACATTGTAGAATAGTGAAGACATCAAAACTATGAAATAACACATATGGAATCATGTAGTAACCAAAATATATTTGAGATTTGAGATTCTTCAAATAGCCACCATTTGCCTTGATGACAGCTTTGCACACTCTTGGCATTCTCTCAACCAGCTTCACCTGGAATGCTTTTCCAACAGTCTTGAAGGAGTTCCCACATATGCTGAGCACTTGTTGGCTGCTTTTCCTTCACTCTGCGCTCCGACTCATCCCAAACCATCTCAATTGGGTTGAGGTCGGGGGATTGTGGAGGCCAGGTCATCTGATGCAGCACTCCATCACTCTCCTTCTTGGTAAAATAGCCCTTACACAGCCTGGAGGTGTGTTGGGTCATTGTCCTGTTGAAAAACGAATGATAGTCCCACTAAGCCCAAACCAGATGGGATGGTGTATCACTGCAGAATGCTGTGGTAGCCATGCTTGTTAAGTGTGCCTTGAATTCTAAATAAATCACAGACTGGTAACTCTAATGAACTTATCCTCTGAAGCAGAGGTAACTCTGGGTCTTCCATTCCTGTGGCGGTCCTCAGGGGAGCCAGTTTCATCATAGCGCTTGATGGTTTTTGCGACTGCACTTGAAGAAACTTTCAAAGTTCTTGAAATGTTCTGTATTGACTGACCTTCATGTCTTAAAGTAATGATGGACTGTCGTTTCTCTTTGCTTATTTGAGCTGTTCTTGCCATAATATGAACTTGGTCTTTTACCAAATAGGGCTATCTTCTGTATACCCCCCCTACCTTGTCACAACACAACTGATTGGCTCAAACGCATTAAGAAGGAAAGAAATTCCACAAATTAACTTTTAAGAAGGCACACCTGTTAATTGAAATGCATTCCAGGTGACTACCTCATGAAGCTGGTTGAGAGAATGCCAAGAGTGTGTGCAAAGCTGTCATCAAGGCAAAGGGTGGCTACTTTGAAGAATCTCAAATATAAAATGTATTTAGATTTGTTTAACACTTTTTTGGTTACTACATGTTTCCTTATGTGTTATTTCATAGTTTTGATGTCTTCACTATTATTCAAAAAAATTTAAAAATTAAGAAAAACCCTTGAATGAGGAGGTGTGTCCAAATTTTTGACTGGTAGTGTATATACTGTATTCTATTCTACTGTATTTTAGGCAATGCCACTCCAACATTGCTCGTCCTTATATTTATATATTTCTTAATTCCATTATTTTACTTTTTGATTTGTGTATTGTTGTGAATTGTTAGATGCTACTGCACTGTTGGAGCTAGGAACACAAGCATTTCGCTACACCCACAATAACATCTGCTAAATATGTGTATGTGACCAATAAAATGTGATTCGATTTGTTCATATGTATCATGATACTGTTGGTAGGGACAAAGCGCCAGGGCAGAGGGAGTGTGACTACTCCATTGATAACATCAACAAGTGTATCCGGGACATCGAGCAGGCTTCTCTAGCTGCTGTGGGCCAGAGCCTACAGGGATGTAGGGATGACATCTCTTTGGAAGTAAGTTTGAATTGTCAAATGATCACTATAATGGCTTTTTCTTCATTTTCATTTTCCCCATCGTAATTCTTTGCTGCCCCCTTAGGCTTTGCAGGAGCAGCTGACATCGTCGGTGCAGGAGATTGGACATCTCATCGATCCCATCAATACTGCAGCCAGGGGTGAAGCTGCCCAGCTGGGGCACAAGGTACTAGTCTGGGACCATTCACCTATAGGGAGAAATTCATGTCTCCTAGATCTGTGTTTCATACTGTTACATGATACTGTCTCTCCCAGGTGACCCAGCTGGCCAGCTACTTTGAGCCCCTCATCGTTGCGTCTGTTGGCCTGGCCTCTAAGATTGTCGACCAGCAGCAGCAGATGAACATCCTGGACCAGACCAAGACCCTGTCAGAATCTGCCCTGCAGATGCTCTATGCAGCCAAGGAGGGAGGTGGAAACCCCAAGGTAATGTTACTGTATAACACAGTGCACAGAGGCCATGTTTGAGCAATGGAGCAGTACGTAATTAGTATAGATTTGTGTGCACCTCATTCCACAATCTATCATATTCCTTATTGTAGTTGCATAGCCATGTGTATTGTTATGAAGAAGATTGTTGAGTTTCACAGTGGTCTGGTGTATTTACTGCGTGTCCAGGCGGCCCACACCCACAACGCCATAGCGGAGGCTATCCAGCTAATGAAGGAGGCTGTGGACGACATCATGGTGACGCTGAATGAGGCGGCCAGCGAGGGTGGCATGGTGGGAGGCATGGTGGAGGCTATTGCTGAGGCCATGAGCAGGGTGAGTGGGGTTGGTGTCCTGTACAGCAGGGTGTAGTAGTGTGTATGTGTGTACATGTGAGTGTACAGTATATCACAGGAGGTTGGTGGCACTTTAATTGGGAAGAATGGGCTCGTGGTAATGACTGGAGCGGAATCAGTGGAATGGTAGCAAATACATCAAACACATGGTTTCCAGGTGTTTGATGCCATTCCATGTGCTCCGTTCCGGACATTATTATGAGCCATCACTGGTGTATGTGCGTGTGTACTGTGGCCCCAAGCAGCTCAGGAGTAGAGCTCTGCTGAGAACACTCATCTCTTCCTACTGCTTTAAGATGTCTCCACCACGGTGGGCGGGCAGAAAAACATCCTCTAACTGACACTCATTAGTGAGATGGATGGGAAGTGTCAGGTCCAGGCCTCAGAGCTGTCAGCTGTCACTCATCCACTGGCTGTCACCCTCCTTCTCCTGAGATCTGTCACAGACTTGATGATGGAGCTCATAATAATAAATTATGCCTGCATATTTGATTGCCTGAATGCTTCTATCAGATGTTGTTCTCTATATGTTTCCAACCTATTGAATTCGATTTATGTTTCTGCATAGAAAATAACACATTGCGCAGCCTTATGTGGATATTTGCATTCTGCAACATATTTATGCATAGAGTTCATTGAATAAAGAAAAGCTTTATTCAAATGTGTGGTAGATGCTTGGTTGATATTCATATGTGTAGATTATGTACAGTAAGTAGCTAGGTTGAATATATTAAACAAGCCGTGGTTTTCCCTCTGCAGTTGGATGAGGGCAATCCCCCTGAACCAGAAGGATCCTTTGTGGATTACCAGACCACCATGGTGAAATACTCCAAGGCCATCGCCATCACAACTCAGGAGATGGTGAGCACAAACAACTACCCCCTAAATATGCAATGTATCCTTATAGATGTACCTCTTCATCATTTCTGAAATAACTATATCACAGTCATGTTATGACCTTGTTCTGATTGTGTCCCCAGATGACTAAGTCAGTGACGTGTCCAGAGGAGCTGGGTGGCCTGGCCTCTCAGGTGACTGTAGACTACAGCCAGTTAGCCCACCAAGGTCGCCTGGCAGCTGCCACCGCAGAACCAGATGAGGTGAGAGGTCAAGCGGTGCCTATGGGTGCACTGTCAAAGCAGGATACTGTTAAAATATGGGATAATTTTTCTGTGGTGCCCCTATAGGCAAGCCCTATGGGAGATTCTCAATTGGTTTGCTCAACTCCTCCATCCTCCTTCACCTTCCTCCGTCCTCTCCTCACCTCCTTTTGAAAAAGGTAACCGAGGAGAGGAGAAGAAATGTGGAAACAAATGTGCTTGTATGAAATGAGACTCTCCTTCTTCACTCGAGTGGCATTGTGCAAATTACGTTTACAGGGGTGGAATCTCAAATTAAATGTGTAAAGTAGTAAAAATAAATGTAGCTAGACATTTTATAAATAAAAGGATAAGTAGCATATTGTTTTTAAATATGTGTATAAGTAAACAACAGCTGATTGAAAGGGTGTGGCGGATCTCAAAAATCTTCCACGAAGGACTCAGGTGATACTCTTGTACTTCCTCGGCGGGAGGAGGCTATCGAGGAGACCAGGACACTCCTCTGTTTGCCCTAAAAACCAATTGACACTCTCCTTGACCCCTCAACCACTTATCGGTTTCCGGGTCACAGAGGAGAGAGGATGGAGGAGGAGAGGACAGTCTTTTTCCCAAATGAGAATCTCCCTTGTCTTTATACGGCAACATATCAAAAGAGATTTGAGATGCAAGAGACTTGCATATGCTTAGAAATTATGCAGAAATATCACACATATATGCAGATATGTCACAGGGTGGATGGCATTCTTTGAAATGATGCATCTTCCTTGAGGCTGTACTTGATAGTGTGAGATCAAACTCTGGAATATATTTCCACCTCTCAAACCTCATTCTCTCTGTCTCAGCTGCACCCACATAGTCTGTTTAATGCTCATCTCTGAGAGGGAGACCGCTATCTATTGTGTGTGAAAACATAGCCTAATCACCACACACTCTTATCAATTCTCTTTACATAACTGGATGCTGGAAACCCTTGTTACCATAGCGACATTGTACCCATCCAAGCCTAAAAGCCTATAGTGATGCTGGTAATGAAGTACCACCCACCCATTCATTTCTGTGTCAGGAAATTAAAGGTGTAGTACCATCAGTCCCTCTCAGGTGCTGGAAATCAGTTTTTACCCAGCAGCCTGATAAGAGGCAGTCAGTCAGTCAGTCAGTCAGTCGAGGACATGATGAAACATTGTCTGCTGTGTGGAAGGAGGCAGGGAGTGGGTGAGATGGCTCTGTAGTACTGATGGACTGGCTGTCTGGCTGTGCTTGCAGGTGGGCTTCCAGATCAAGACACGGGTCCAGGAGCTGGGCCATGGATGTATCTACCTGGTTCAGAAGGCTGGGGCCCTGCAAATGAGCCCCACTGACAGCTTCTCCAAGAGGGAGCTCATTGAGTGTGCCCGTGCCGTCACTGAGAAGGTAGGCTGGGAACGGGGCTGATATAGTATAATTATTTGCCTGAACCTTGTGGTAAATTGTGATAACTTTGAAGTCTTTAGGTTTAATTTATTTGCACCAGAGAAAATAAGTAATAAACAACAATACAGATTTAAAAAATAACAACATAAAAACAGTGTGGAGGTGTGGTTGGAAGCCCAAGGGCTTATATAAAAACCACACCACAAAAAAACAATATACAATACATAAGTAAAAAATAAATAAAAAGGTTTGCTAAAACAAATGAACTGATCAGCAATCACAAATAAAACAGTATATGTTTTGTTTAAATGTGTGGATTTGAGTGCGTGAGAGTTGGGCTATATGGAGGAGATTACTGAGTAGTTTGGTTCATCAGGCTGACCCCCAGTCTTTGCTTGAAGTTATTGAGGGATGATGAGGTTTGGTAATGTGAAGATAAGAATTCCAGAGTATGGTACCTCTGTATCTGGTAGAGAATTGACTATGTGAGGTGCGGCAGTGGGGAGGGTGAAGGTTATCAAAGTATCTTGTGTTATATAGATGGATTTCAGAATTAACCTGGAAGAATCCATTGAAGGGTTTAGGTAAACTGTCTGGGAGGGATGAGTATTTGTAGATGCATAATTGGCGGAAATGTACGTCGTAAATAGACAATATATTGCGTTTCTTAAACAAAGCCAGGTAATTAGAAGAGGTGGCTAGTCTTGCAAATGTATTTTGTATGATGAGTAATTTGTGTAGGTAGGAGGCATACAGGATGTACTGGCCCAGACAATGTACAGTAAATGAGATGTGGGTAAATTAAGCAATAGTAAAGAGTTAGGAAGCAAGCCTGATGAACCAAACCGCTAATCTAAGTCTGCAATGTTATAATCTGAATGCCAAAAAATAAATGTCAGTTGATTTGTTCTGCACCTTTGCTTTTGTGACTGCATATTAACATTACTAGGCTTCGAGGATTTCTACTTTAAGTGAAAGAGAGAATGTTATTCCCTTGAATGGCAGTTGCTTACTGTGTTCTGGGTCTGATGCCGGTAACAGAATCACTAAGGGGTTTTTGTGAAGAAAGAGTCCAGGTGTGAATGTTGTTTTGGTGTCATGGGAATAGCTGAGAATCGGCTCTAAGGATAATGGATTTTTATAATGGAGCATTCTCCACTGTGACTGAAAGACCTTATCCCCCTGAGCCCTGTGGCTGGGGGAAGAACTGTGGGAGTGAGTAAAGCAGACCTACATTAGCTGTGAAAACACTGTTTTTGCTATGTGTTGTACACAACTTGTGCTGTACAGTAGCTGTGAATATGAATATCAATTCAGTCCTTCAGTTCATACTCTCATGATTACACTTACTGTACATAGTGAAATTAGACCAATTAGTCATTTCTGTGACCCTAGCACTAGCAGAAGATATAGCTGATTTTCAATGAGTCTGCATTAGAATTTCTCTCCTCACCCACCGTATGATTTCATTCAAGACTAATTTCAGACATGAATAATTTGTGGCCTCATGCATGTGGGGAGCTGGACCTTGAGGTGCCTCATTTGAATGCTTGTGAGGGACTGTAGACGTCTGTCTCTGTCTGGATTATTAAGGATAGAGAGCACTGTGTGATGCAGCGTCCAGAGTCATTAGTTTAATGTGTCTGTGCAGCAGTAGGCTCAGGGCTAATGCACGGTTCCCCCTCTCTCTCCTGCTGCCAGCTCCCTGCTCAGTCCAGCTCTCTCAGATTGCCTCACAGTCGGCCCTCCCATTACCTTGATTCAGATCTTGATTTGAATGCAAATGGGAAGCTTTAATCAAATTACGATTTCACCAACACATTATTTGGTGATGGTGGATCATGAACTGTAAGCCGTGGATCCTGAGTGGTGGTTGTCATTCACAGATAATATCAGATGATATGCCACAGCTCCTTTGTTTTCTCTTAACAACATAAGGTCAAAGGGAATGATTAGTTTATGATCATGCTGTGTTTGGATGTTTATTGAGATAGACCCGGAGGTGCTGCTGTTAATCCACACCACTCTCTCACTTGAGTATCTTACCTAGTAATTTTTGGACAAGAGGAACACCTACGTGAGAATGCTATTCATTGACTACAGCTCAGCATTCAACACCATAGTGCCCTCAAAGCTCATCACTAAGCTAAGGATCCTGGGACTAAACACCTCCCTCTGCAACTGGATCCTGGACTTCCTGACAGGCCGCCCCCAAGTGGTAAGGGTAGGTAACAACACATCTGCCACACTGATCCTCAACACGGGGGCCCCTCAGGGATGCGTGCTCAGTCCCCTCCTGTACTCCCTGTTCACCCATGACTGCATGGCCAGGCACGACTCCAACACCATCATTAAGTTTGCCGACGACACAACAGTGGTAGGCCTGATCACCGACAACGATGAGACAGCCTATAGGGAGGAGGTCAGAGACCTGGCCGTGTGGTGCCAGGACAACAACCTCTCCCTCAACGTGACCAAGACAAAGGAGATGATTGTGGACTACAGGAAAAAAAAGAGGACTGAGCACGCCCCCATTCTCATCGACGGGGCTGTAGTGGAACAGGTTGAGAGCTTCAAGTTCCTTGGTGTCCACATCACCAACGAACTATCATGGTCCAAACACACCAAGACAGTCGTGAAGAGGGCACGACAAAGCCTATTCCCCCTCAGGAGACTGAAAAGATTTGGCATGGGTCCTCAGATCCTCAAAGAATTCTACAGCTGCACCATGGTATGGCAACTGCTTGGCCTCCGACCGCAAGGCACTACAGAGGGTAGTGCGTACGGCCCAGTACATCACTGGGGCCAAGCTTCCTGCCATCCAGGACCTCTATACCAGGCGGTGTCAGAGGAAAGCCCTCAAAATTGTCAAAGACTCCAGCCACCCTAGTCATAGACTGTTCTCTCTGCTACCGCACGGCAAGCGGTACCGGAGTGCCAAGTCTAGGTCCAAAAGACTTCTCAACAGCTTCTACCCCCAAGCCATAAGACTCCTGAACAGCTAATCATGGCTACCCGGACTATTTGCACTGCCCCACCACCCCATCCTTTTACGCTGCTGCTACTCTGTTAATTATTTATGCATAGTCACTTTAACTCTGCCCACATGTACATATTACTTCAACTACCTCAACTAGCCGGTGCCCCCGCACATTGACTCTGCACCGGTACCCCCCTGTATATATAGCCTCCCTACTGTTATTTTATTTTACTTCTGCTCTTTTTTTCTCAACACTTTTTTTTTTGTTGTTTTATTTTTACTTTTTTGTTAAAAATAAATGCACTGTTGGTTAAGGGCTGTAAGTAAGCATTTCACTGTAATGTCTGCACCTGTTGTATTCGGCGCATGTGGCCAATAAAATTTGATTTGATTTGATCAAATTTTTGCTCTTTTTGTAGCTTTGGCAACTGTGTGTGTTTTCTATACCTGTTCGCTCGTCTCCCTATAGGCTTTACAGACGCTCCCCACCCCTTGGCTGCAACACTTCTAATTTAGTGTACCCTGCACGCACAACCCATGTGGAATTTCGGGTCTCTGGCAGCGTTTGGAACTGCCAATCTGTGGTCAAGAACACCAAGTTAATCTCAGCCTATGCTGAGAGAACACTGCTACTCCAGCTGCTCTTTTTTCATCTGACTACGTTTTCTCTCATAGTCCGAGAGCATCTGGTCGTCGCGGTAGTGGCACAGGTCTACTCATTTCTCCTTAGTGGAGATTTTCTATTTTCTCCCTCTCTCACCTGTCCATCTCCTCATTTGAATTCCATGCTGTCACTGTCACTTGTCCACTCAAGCTTAACATTATTGTCATTTATCGCCCACCAGGTGCTCTTGGAAAGTTCCTCAATGAGCTTTACACCTTGATAAGCTAATTTCCTGACGATGGCTCACAGCTCTTCGTACTTGACGACTTCAACCTCCCGACGTCTGCCTTCGATTAATTTCTTTCCAACTCTCTCTTTCCACTCCTTGCTTCTTTATGCCTCACCCTTTCCCAGTCCCCTCCAACTCACAAGGCAGGCAATACGCTTGACCTCATCTTTACTAGAGGCTGCTCGCCTACTAATCTCACTGAAACCCCCCTCCAGGTCTCTGATCACTACTTTGTTTCCTTTTCTGTCTCCCTTTCCTCCAACCTCAACACTCAGCCCCTACCCAGATGGTCATACACCGTCGCAATATTCGCTCTCTCCTCTTCTATCCTATCATCTTCTCCTCTTCTATCCTATCATCTTTCCCTTCTGCTAAATCTATCTCCCTCCTGTCTCCTGATTCTGCCTCTGTCGACCCTACTCTCCTCCCTTTCCGCAACCTATGACTCGCACTGTCCCCTTTACTCCCAGCTGGCTCGGCCCTCCCCTCCTACTCTGTGGCTGACTCAAACTAAATGCATGCTCTTCAATCGAACGCTGCTGGCACCCGCCCACCCGACTAGAATAACTACTCTCTGCGGGTCTGACCTAGAGTATGTGGACAACTACAAATACCTAGGTGTCTGGTTAGACTGTAAACTATCCTACCACACTCCCATTAAGCATCTCCAATCCAAAGTTAAATCTAGAATCGGCTTCCTATTTCGCAACAAAGCCTCCTTCACTCATGCTGCCAAACATGCCCTCGTTAAACTGACTATCCTACCGATCCTTGACTTCGGCGATGTCATTTACAAAATAGCCTCCAACACTCTGTAAATTGGATGTAGTCTATCACAGTGCCATCCGTTTTGTCACCAAAGCCCCATATACTACCCACCACTGTGACCTGTACGCTGTTGTTGGCTGGTCCTCACTACATATTCGTCGCCAAACCCACTGGCTCCAGGTCATCTATAAATCACTGCTAGGCAAATCCCCGCCTTATCTTAGCTCATTGGTCACCATAGCAACACCCACCCATAGTATACGCTCCAGCAGGTATATCTAACTGGTCATCCACAAAGCCAACACCTCCTTTGGCCGCCATTCCTTCCAGTTCTCTGCTGCCAATGACTGGAACGAACTGCAAAAATCTCTGAAGCTGGAGACTCTTGTCTCCCTCACTAACTTTAAGCATCAGTTGTCAGAGCACCTTACCGACCACTGCACCTGTACACAGCCCATCTGAAATTAGCCCACCCAACTACCTCATCCCCATATTGTTATTTATTTTGCTAATTTGCACCCCAGTATCTCTATTTGCACATCATCTCTTGCACATCTATCATTCCAGTGTTAATACTAAATTGTAATTATTTTGCACTATGGCCTATTTATTGCCTTACCTCCATAACTTGCTACATTTGCACACACTGTATATATATTTTCTGTTGTATTTTAGACTTTATGTTTTGTTTACCCCATATGTAACTCTGTGTTGTTGTTTTTTATCGCACTGCTTTATCTTGGCCAGGTCACAGTTGTAAATGAGAACTTGTTCTCAACTGGCTTACCTGGTTAAATAAAGGTGAAAAAAAAAAATGGTGAGCTTACTGAACAGGGCTGCGGGCAGCTGAGCGAAAATTGAGGAAAACTAAACTTCCAGAGGACCTATCATCCTTTCACACCCTCCTCTCTACATTCTCTTCCTCTGTATCCACTGCTAAAGCCACTCTCTACCACTCTAAATTTCAAGCTTCTTCCTCTAACCCTAGAAAACTATTTTCCACCTTCTCCTCCCTCCTTAATCCTCCACCCCTCCCCCTCCCTCCTCCCTCTGCGGACAACTTTGTCAACCACTTTGAAAAGAAGGTTGAGGACATCCGCTCCTCATTCACTCAGCCTATTGAGTCCACTGGTCTCACTCACACAGAACTACCCTACGTCTTGACCTCTTTCTCCCGTCTCTCTCCAGATGACATCCTGCGACTAGTGAGGTCTGGCCGCCCGACAACCTGCCCGCTCGACCCCATCCCCTCCTCCCTTCTCCAGACCATCTCTGTGGACCTTCTCCCATTCCTTACTTCCCTCATCAACTTATCCCTGACCACTGGCTGTGTCCCCTCTGACTTCAAAATAGCCCAAGTCACTCCCCTCCTCAAGAAACCAACACCCGACTCATCGACATAAAAAACTATAGACCTGTATCCCTTCTTTCTTTTCTTTCCAAAACACTTGAGCGTGCTGTCTCTGATCAACTTTCTCGTTATCGCTCACCCTAACCAATTAGGTTTCAAGACGGGTCACTCAACCGAGACTGCTCTTCTCTGTGTCACGGAGGCTCTCCACACTGCCAAAGCTGACTCTCTCTCCTCTGTTCTCATCCTCCTAGATCTATCCACTGCCTTCGACACCGTGAATCATCAGATCCTCCTCTCCACCCTCTCAGTGCATCTCAGGCTCTGCACACTCTTGGATTGTATCTTACCTGGCAGGCCGCTCCTACCAGGTGACGTGGAGAGGATCTGTGTCTACACCACATAATCTCATTACTGGTGTTCCCCAGGGCTCGGTTCTAGGCCCTCTCCTCTTCTCTCTATACACCAAGTCACTGGGCTCCATCATATCCTCACATGGTCTCTCCTATCATTGCTATGCGGATGACACTCAACTACTTTTCTCCTTCCCCCCCTTCTGACACCCAGGTAGTGACATGCATCTCTGCGTGCCTGGCAGATTTCTCAACTTGGATGTCGGCCAACCGCCTCAAGCTCAACCTCGACAAGACGGAGCTGCTCTTCCTCCCAGGGAAGGCCTTCCCACTCAAAGACCTCTCCATCACAGTTGACAACTTCACAGTGTCACCCTCCCAGAGTGCAAAGAACCTTGGCGTGACCCTGGACAACACCCTGTCGTTCTCTGCAAACATCAAGCTTCTGCAGGTTCATGCTCTACAACATCCGTAGCGTACAACCCTACCTCACACAAGTCCTAATCCAGGCGCTTGTCATCTCCCGTCTGGACTACTGCAACTGGACTACTGCAACTCGCTGTTGGCTGGGCTCCGCGCTTGTGCCATCAAACCCCTGCAACTTATCCAGAACGCTGCAGCCCGCCTGGTTTTCAACCTTCCCAAGTTCTCTCATGTCACCCCGCTCCTCCGAACACTCCACTGGCTTCCAGTCGAATCTCTCATCCACCACAAGACCATGGTGCTTACCTACGGAACAGCAAGAGGAACTGCCCATCCCTACTTTCAGGCTATGCTCAAACCCTACACTCCAACCCGAGCACTCCTTTCTGCCACCTCAGGTCCCCTACGGGAGGGCAGCTCCCGCTCAGCCCAGTCCAAGCTCTTCTCTGTGCTAGCATCCCAATGATGGAACCAGCTTCCCCCTGAAGCTTGGCCCTCCCACCCCTATGGGAGGACAGCAGAGTCCCTTCCCATCTTCCAAAAACTTCTCAAACCCTACCTCTTCAAACAGTATCTTAAATAATCCTCCTCACCTAGATTTTAACACCCCCCCTCTCCCCCAAACCCTCCCCTCCCTTTCTCGCTCTGACTCTACTGATAGCTAAACATTTACTTTCTATGCCTGTGATATGTGGTTGTCCCACCTAGCTGTCTTAAGATGGATGCACTAACTGTAAGTCGCTCTAGGTAAGAGTGTCTGCTAAATTACTAAAATGTAATCATGTGTTGTATGTTGCGTCCCCTGTCTGTCTGCTGTCCATGCAGGTTTCCATGGTGCTGTCTGCACTGCAGGCAGGTAACAAAGGTACTCAGGCCTGCATCACAGCAGCCAGTGCTGTCTCAGGCATCATCGCTGACCTCGACACCACCATCATGTTCGCCTCGGCTGGAACACTCAACCCCGAGAAAGAAGAGACCTTCGCTGACCACAGGTGAGACTAGAGCAGGTCACAGTAATGAGGTGAACACTAATCTGTTGAGGAGATTACCTTGGGCCAAACTCATTATGTCCACAGAAACCACAAGTCAAGTAGTGGTCAATGAAGCAATAGAATAGAATGCATGGACTTTGACCTCATACAATATGTCTTTCTTTTAAGGAAAGGGACTGTCTCTTCCCATGAACTGCAACTGTATGACTATAGAGTGTTCAATTCAATAAATCTTTATTTATCCCAATGGGTATTTGACAAGATGTTGTGTGGTGTCCCTCAGGGAGAGCATTCTGAAGACAGCCAAGGCTCTAGTGGAGGACACTAAGCTGCTGGTGTCTGGGGCAGCGTCCAGTCAGGACAGACTGGCCCAGGCTGCCCAGTCCTCAGCCAAGACCATCACCATGCTCACTGACGTGGTCAAACTGGGAGCCACCAGCATGGGCTCTGACGACCCAGAGACTCAGGTAATACACTGACCACACCATGTTGGATAGAAATGACAACACATAAATGTAACGCTACAACAATCTTTCATTCTAAATTCAAAAACTACTTTTTTCCCCCTGATAAATCTGTCCTATTTCTATATGTCCACATATTTATATTACACACCTCTAAATAGTCCAATAGTGATTTAACATGTATGCCCATGTATTCTATAAAGGTCACCCTGATAGACCTGTACTGTTCTGTTAGTCTTTTGTCATTCTGTCTAGCCATTCCGTAATCAGGCCTTTTGACACATACTTTTCCTCCCTGTGTATCTCTCCCCTCCACACTATCAGAAGCATAGCTCCAGGTAGAAGTGATAAGGCCAGGCTCTGTTAAAATCTTTACCTCAGGTAGGCATGATAAACCTGTACTCTGTCCATTGTATTGTATTAATGTGGTCTCTTTCCTTCTTCTCCCTCCCTCCCCTAAGGTGGTCCTCATAAATGCGGTGAGAGACGTGGCCAAGGCTCTAGCTGAGCTCATCGGCGCCACCAAGTGTGCTTCAGGCAAGCCAGCTGACGACCCGTCCATGTATCAGCTGAAGAGTGCTGCCAAGGTACTGTAAGACAAACACTGCTCTAACATAGAGAATACCACACAGAATGTTACACACTTTGGAGTGTCTATTTGTCTATTCAGCCGCCCTTGTTTTACAGAAATGAAGCAGATCATATCTATACAAGATGCTGTCTCTGTGTCATGGCAGTATTTTCTCCAAGAAACACATATGGTCCTGTTTCCAGAAGGATATGACAGTTCCCTTATCATTGTGTGTGTGTGTGTGTGTGTGTGTGTGTGCGTGCGCACCCTTGAACGTGCGTGCCACTGTAGCAGTGTCACTGAGATGGGTATCAGGGTGTGTGTGACTCATGCTTGTCACAGGGGGTGTGAACTCTGAGCAATCTGTGATCACCACTGTGACTAGAGGACTAGAGAGGCTCCTTATCTCCCACACTCTGTGGAGAGAGAGACACTGACTGGGGCTTTTACTGAAGCCCCGCCTGCCGTGTCCTTTCTACTCAGAATATCCAAGGAAAACAAGTTTTTGGGGGTTTTTGCTTCAAGGTTTTTTCCTCCTGGTCTGAAATGTGTATAGTATTGTCCTTCTTTACTGTTGCCATTCTATCTGGGCTGTGTCTACTGAGACCCCATTCTGGTCTCTGGTGCTAGTGGGAGACAATTCCACCTGCTGGCCTGACTCTCTGTGTTCAGTGAGTGTCACATTTCTCTCTCTCTTTATCTCTGACAGGTGATGGTTACCAACGTGACGTCCCTGCTGAAGACTGTGAAGGCAGTGGAGGATGAGGCTACTCGCGGGACGAGGGCACTGGAGGCCACCATTGAGTGCATCAAACAGGAGTTGACAGTAAGACGCCCTGAAAGTCTCCCCTCGCCACTCTGTACTAGTGGGATATCATAGAGGAGACACAGGCTGCCAGGCTGGTTAAAGAAAGGGAGGTGTGGCGGTGTACCTAAGTGTTTTTTACTCAACCTTAAACTCTCTGATATCTAGTCCACCTTTGCCTCCTCTCCTCCTTTCCACTCCTCCCCAAAGCCCTGCAGTCTTCTCATTGCTCTGATCAGGGATTGTGTAGCAGACACAGGGGGAAAGAGAGCATGAAATGTTCATCAGCTTTTTTTTCTAGTGATTTACTGCTAATCCTTATCAGTGCACCCTCAGGACCACAACAGGCGTTACCTAGGCTGCAGCGGCAAAATCCAAATCAAACACAGCTCACTTAGCTCACAATTACAGTGGCATCAATAATACTAGGACATTTGTCCACCTCACTTGTTTACTCTAACAGTGGTCATGACCCCGGGCTGACTGTTGACAGTTCTAGACTAACAATGATAAAGGCCAGGAGTATTTTCTGGTCAGGTCATATGGTCAGAAACAACTCCTGTCCTTAGTAATGATGAACCAACCTGTGAATGAAAGTAGATCACCCTCAGTGGCTGTCAGTGCAGTCACAGTGACTCATGCTGTGTGTGCACAGGTGTTCCAGTCCAAGGACGTCCCCGAGAAGTCGACCACACCAGAAGAGTTCATCCGCATGACAAAGGGCATCACCACGGCAACGGCCAAGGCTGTGGCAGCAGGAAACTCTGCCCAGCAGGAGCACGTCATCGCCACGGCCAACCTGAGCCGCAAAGCCATCTCTGATATGCTGACCACCTGCAAGGTGATAATCCACCCCAGCTCTGCCAACTCAGGCCTCACATCCTCTCACTGACACCACATCACTCCCATATTGCCGCTTTGCCAGGAAAAAAACATGAAAGCAGGGCAGCAGGGGCTAGTTCATATGGCTGGTGTGACTCACACTGTTCAATATCACTCAGTCTGGAACGTTAGTCATGATGTCCTTCAGGCACATCACAAAAGTGGACAGTAAGTGAACAGACCAGGGAAAAAGGAGAAAAAGGCTGATGGCGAGCTTAACAAAATGACTTTCGCTGCCCCACATATCAATGATGTAGCAATGCAGTAGCGATATTAAGGCTGTAGTTCTATAAAGGAGAGCCTAGTGGTCTTCAGCATACCTTTTAGACACCTTTTATATATTACTTTGCCTTGATAGTCAATATCATTAGGCAGAGAACCTTATTTTCTGCAAATAATATATAAACGTCCAGTCTCTTGTATGTTTTGAAAATGTTGTTGTTGTCTCGCTTCCCTCTAGCAAGCGGCCTGTCATCCAGAGGTGAGTGAGGAGGTGAGGAATAAGGCCCTGCACTACGGGTCAGAGTGCACCACTGGATACATCGACCTGCTGGAGCAAGTACTGCTGGTGAGATGGAGAATACAATACATCACACAGACAACACCTAACCTCTGTTCGCTTGGCCTGATAACATGTGGCTCCATGATTGTTGTGTGTGTGTGTGTGTGTGTGTGTGGGTGCGCGTGTGTGTCCAGGTGCTCCAGAAGCCCACAGCGGACCAGAGGCAGCAGCTGGCGGTACACTCCAAGTGCGTGGCGGGGTGTGTGACAGAGCTCATCCAGACTGCTGAGGCCATGAAGGGTGAGGCTGCCACACACACATTCACCTAGAGAAGCATAGTTAGACCAGACTACAGCATATTGCAGAGACCCAGTAATCCATTCTGACAATTTATTCAAACAGTAGCACACAATGTAAATGAGTTTAGAGATGTTTTCTTCTCAGGGCCTATAATGGCCTTGTGTGAGTAGAATATTCACAATAATTAAAATACCAAAACCACCCCATTTATCCACAGGTTATGTAGACAGATAATATAGAACATGTGCTGTAGAGTGGGCCTAACATCCTGAGTCATTGCAATGTAAATTGTCAACATATTAGATCAGTAGGTTGGAATGTATGTATACCAGGAATGTATCCTCCAGAAGCCCTGCTGCCTGCCTTCCATATCTCTGACAGGACTAATATATTGTGTTTGGGTGAGAATTGGATCCCAGTGTACAGCCAACAACCCACTGGGGCTATCCATTTCAAATCTGTAATGCCTCTTGTTTTCCTTCTCTCTTTCCTGCCTCAGATGGAGGTAAGTGAGAGATGGGGCTGTTTGGTTCCTGCTGATCACTGTTCACACAGGCACATAGGGGAGGTAGAAGAGTGGGGGAGGGGGATGGGGGGAGAGGGGAGAGGTACTGAACAGATTTCCCCAGGGTTAAACATAATCTGGAAAAACATAATTCCATCTGCTTTTCCAAGTTGTTCCCAAATAGTCCTGTTTTATGGCCACTTTAAAACCTATAAAGAGTGACAATGATCCATTGAAAGTACACTTCTTCAAACTCTTATTCAACCTTATTTAACTTTGAGGCATTAGAATCACTATCAATCAATCAAATGTATTTATAAAGCGCTTTTTACATCAGCAGTTGTCACAAAGTGCTTATACAGAAACCCAGCTTAAAACCCCAAAGAGCACGGAAAAACTCCCTAGAAATGCAGAAACCTAGGAAGAAACCTAGAGAGGAACAAGGCTCTGAGGGGTGGCCAGTCTTCTTCTGGCTGTGCCGGGTGGAGATTATAAGAGTACATGGCCATTAAGGCCATATCATTCTTCAAGATGTTCAAACATTCATAGATGACCAGCAGGGTCAAATAATAACCACAGTGGTTATAGAGGGTGCAACAGGTCAGCACCTCAGGAGTAAATATCAGTTGGCTTTTCATGGCCGAGAATTCAGGGGTCGAGACAGTAGGTTCAGTAAGACTGACCCTAGCCCCCCGGCACATACCTAGACTATTGCAGCATAGATACTGGAGACTAAGACGGGAGGGGTCGGGGGACACTGTGGCCCTGTCTACAGACAGAACTCGGCAGAGTGAAAAACTTGCATGGTAGATCTGCTTGGCGTTGTATGTTCAGAGGTATAATGCTTGTTATCATTGCATGTGTGGAGTTGTGCTTGTGTGTTCTAAATTGGTGGGTTGTATTATGTGTGGTGGCATTTGTATAGAAAGGGCTTAAGTGAAGTGGCTTTGTCTGAACTGGTGATCTGCCTTGGTGGTGTATGCTTTGGTTATTTTTGTGTCTGTGTTAAGAGTTGTAGGATTTGTATAATGTGTTGTGATTATGATCTCTCGTGGTGTGGTTTAGGGTTAGAATGGGTGGACCCTGAGGACCCAACTGTCATCGCTGAGACTGAGCTGCTGGGAGCGGCAGCCTCCATCGAAGCTGCAGCCAAGAAACTGGAGCAGCTGAAACCCAGAGCCAAGCCCAAGGTAGGCCTACCAGTCCCCTTCTCAACCACCTCCAACACCTCCCTCCACACCTCCCTCCAACACCTCCCAGACCTCCACCACAGAACACACCTGTCTACTAACCTATCTACTCACTCATCAGGAAGGCTACAAAAGTTCACATTGTCTTTGAAGTACGGTAATCTGTTAGTCTCAGAGCTGCTTTTAGAGGTTGTGATATGTTGGGAGGGAATATAAATATTGTGTGAACTGTAGCCTACCTCTAAAACTAAGCTGACTCAAGACAGCCTACTTGTGTGTTCTGTGAGCTCGTAGAATGTTGATGTATTTACATCTGTTGGAAGGTTTTGTCTGGGGAGAAATCTAGTGTTTTTAGAGAGAATCTGTAGAGCCGTGTTGCCAGGAGACTCAATTGCATTACTGGGACCTGAAGCTTAGGTTGGAATGAGTTCACATTTGTGATGATCTGTCTGAAGCCTATTGAAGGAAAGGTCCTCCTCCTTGTTGAACCTATTTCATTTGTTTTATTACAGCATTATTTTGTTTTTACACAAAAATGAGAGGGGCCTTTCTCAGCCCAAGGTATTCATCCACTTCATGGAGTGATATTGCACAAACCAACGTAACTTCTCTGAAAGAAACAACTGTCTGTAAGAAAACTATGAACATCTTTGTGAGCTTTGTCTGAAATTGAAGTACAAACGTTACACAGCTAGTATGTAAGGTTTGAGCTGTATAGATCTGTGTGTGTGCATATGTGCATGAGGGTGTGTGTATACCGTACCAGTGTACAGGTACGTGTGTAGATTGGACCTCAGATCCTCCCAATACTCTTCCTTCTCTCCCTGTAGTGCTGTGTGGTCTACTTGTTTTGTGCCTTTGGTTGATCAGATCTGGTCCCTCTCTCCAGCTCTCTGGTGCACAACTGAACCTGGCTGGAGAACCTCCTGTTTTCATTAGAAACTTCCTGATGGCCCTCCGGTTCAGATTTCAGCAGGGCCCAGTGTTTATAAGATGGAGGTGAAGGGTGGTTGGCGTCTTTAGGATGTCAGTATCTTGCTGCCCTCTAGTGATCTGTTAAACATAGTGCATGCTTTCTGCTTCCACAAGGCAGAGAGGCAGGGCAGAGATTTTGAGATCTTTTTTTCTATCATGAAACAATCATTCTTACCAGCTACAGTATACTATGTTTACCACTATATCAAGCAAGGTGTAGATTTACTTAGACCTCCAAATATCAAGCCCACAGTACAGCGTGTGAAAGGGACACTGTGTAAAACATCTAAATGATGAGGTACTGTCTGACTGGTTATCTACAACCCCTGCTGTTCACCTTCTGCTCCCTCCTTCCATCCTTCCCTCTCTGTGCCCCTTCTCCCCTCCCCAGCATGCTTCACTCTCCCTCCATTCTCTTGAGTTGTAGACCTGGAAGCCTTCTCTGCAGGCCTCTGTCTGATATGTTTGATATATTAGGTTGTTATTCAGTCCAACTATATATCAAACATATTCCTACAGTGTCCCGCCCTGTCTCCAGCCACGTGTGCCTTGTGTGTTGATGATGCTGGCATGATCTATGGTCACTGACTGGTGTAGTCTACTGAGACAGGAATGACATTATTTGTAATTCCCAAGTAATTCATTATCCTTTTAGAATGGGTGCTTCTCTACTGTATGAATCTTGCAAAGTGTTTGGTTTGGATTTTCCAACAGCAAACAGTATTTGAAGATCTGTTGGAAGGATTCCCCATTATGAAATGTGTTGGTGGATGTGATTGGCCAGTTACTCAACATAGCACCATAAAACAACCAATGGAGTTTGTTGTTTTGTCTTATTGCCACAAGATGTCCCCCTAAGTGCATTTCCATGGTTAAATGTGTGGTTTTGCCATAGTGATAGATAGAGGCCTCATCTTTGTATCTGGGCCATTATAGCGTCTGTGACAGCATGGGCATCTTCATTTTGAAGTAGTCCATTTTCTTCTTCACTATTGGCTGATCGCTCCTGATGACTTGGTCTGGCCCAGACCTAGTTCACTGATTTTAATTTGGTATTGTGATCAGGGTCACCAGGAGGGATCAGCCAATGAAGTTGGTAGTCCCACCTAGTTGACTACATTAAAATGGTGGAAGCCCTCAAGGGCGCTGCCCATGCTAATACAGCCTTTTGGCCACTAGAGGCCTCTATCATTCTCTATGGGTTTTGCTTTCAGCAAGCAGATGAGACACTGGACTTTGAGGAGCAGATCCTGGAGGCAGCTAAATCCATCGCTGCAGCCACCAGTGCCCTGGTGAAGTCTGCTTCTGCAGCCCAGAGAGAGCTGGTGGCACAGGGCAAGGTCAGTTACAACTGTTTTAGAATCATCAGTGTCTGAATGTAACCTCAGCAATAAACTAAATATGTATGTGAAATGTTACACAGTACTGTATCTTTCTCACTCTACTCTCCAGGTGGGATCCATTCTTGCCAATGCTGTGGATGATGGCCAGTGGTCTCAGGGTCTCATATCTGCTGTGAGTTCCCATCATTGTTTCTTTTTATATGTAGTATTATGACAGAACTTTACTGTGAAACTGTGCATGGTGAATCAGCCTCATATCTACTGAGTTGTGTCTGTCTGAGGCCGTACCCTGATGTATGGTTGCTGTTCCCTATAGGCGCGGATGGTGGCGGCAGCGACCAGTAACCTGTGTGAGGCGGCCAATGCCTCTGTGCAGGGCCACGCCAGTGAGGAGAAGCTCATCTCCTCAGCCAAGCAGGTGGCAGCCTCCACAGCTCAGCTCCTAGTGGCCTGTAAGGTCAAAGCTCAACCGGACTCCGAGGCCATGAGGAGACTGCAGGTATAACCCTGTCTCTCTGACTTCACCTCTACACACTATGATGGCATTAACCAAGGGCTTTGTCTCCCTAAGGCTGCTGGGAACGCGGTCAAGCGGGCATCAGACAACCTGGTGAAGGCGGCTCAGAAAGCTGCCTTTGACAAAGCTGATGACAACAGTGTGGTGGTCAAGACCAAGTTCGTGGGTGGCATTGCTCAGGTGAGACTTTAGAGTTTAGATTCTATATGTTACTTTGTTCATTTTCCACCTCTACCTCCTCAACTGTTCCCAGCTTTAATGTTGCTTTCACATGCAAACATTTCCTCTCTAACTAAATGGTTCTGAAATTGAGTTGGGCCACTACAGTATGACTGAATCATACATCAGCTGCATTTCAAATCTGTGGTTTAGCAGGCATCCACAGCTGCCTCAAGATCAAGTCACAAAGAGTTATTCTGCCCCAGCAGACTACTTATCCACTCCCTTTTAATCCATGGCTAAATGTAGAGTAATTGAAGAGTGGATGTCTACCCCATAGCCTGTGGTGTGTGCGTGTGCGTGTGTGTGTGTGTGTAACACTGAAAGTCTCCGAGCCAGCACCCCTCTGGAGAAAGCAGGTCTCTCTCAAGTGGGCCAGTCAACACCCACCCACTGCCATCTCCCAAATCCATAAGAGCTATTTGCTTAAGAAAATAAATAGATACTTACTGCATACTTACATTTAAGACATTTCACTAGTTACCACAGAAGAGTTATGTTAATTGTAGGTTTTCCATAACCCGCTTTAAAGAAACCTACTGAGAAATCTGGGAAATGAGTATGAGCTGTATTCTAAATGTTTTGAAGAAAGTATTATTTCCTTTGTATTTGTAGAACTCATATCAATCAAGTCCATGTACACTAAAGGGACTGGAGGAAATTATTTGATATTATAATCTGTTGGGTTGGAGAGTTACAGGACAGATTTAAGATGAGCAGACTGAAGCATGTATTTAACCATTTCCTCCTCTCCTCAGATCATTGCAGCCCAGGAGGAGATGCTGAGAAAAGAGAGAGAGCTGGAGGAGGCCAGGAAGAAGCTAGCTCAGATCAGACAGCAGCAGTACAAGTTCCTGCCCACTGAGCTGAGGGAGGATGAGAGCTGATTGGTCGAGAGTAAAGTAGATGGACATCTGATTGGAACCTTTTGTTGCACAGAGATGTAGCTGACTACAGTGATTGGCTGTTTCTCTCTCACACGGGTGGAGTGTATAACATATTTGGGCCAGGCCTGTTTCATGAGTGGAACGGGCCAGGCCTGTTTCATGAGTGGAAATAGTGCGTGCTTGCGTGTGTGTGTGTGTGTGTGTGTTTGTGTTTCACAGAGGATGATACTGACATTATGACATAAGGACCAGCTGGCTATAGCTGTACTGTATTAGCGGGGTTAGGACCTGCAATCTTAAAATTGAGACAGATTATTTTACAGATTTTATGGTAGGATACATGAATAAGGACATCACAGTTAAATGAACACTACTGGATCCAATAATGGTAAATACTATTAATACTTTTCATGGATACATCTCTAAATCAGTTGAAGGTAGTTTAAAACTTGTAAAAGCTAATAAAAAGGCATAGCTCACTCTCCAACTGGCACAGCTGACATAGGGATCCATAGCTTCAGTTCCTCACACACCATCTTAGTGTTGATCTACTGTAAGTATTGCAGTACTCTAATGCTTCATTTGAATCATTGGCCTGCATGCACCATTAAAACTAGACAGGTCTGGTATCTTAATTAATTTGATCACTCTGTTGCAGAGAATTTTCCTACGCAGCAAGAAATGCAAATTGTAGTGTATTCAAGGTTTAAAAAGGCTTCTAAATTTTGTAATTTCCACTTAAAAATGTCAGACTTGATTTGCCCTAATGAATAATGTATCAACTCCTACAAAAATGCCCATTAATTATAATCTACATAATAATTCAAATGTCCTGTTGCTACAGGATTATTTTCCTGCTGTGAGAAGCAGGGTCAATTTAAGATGCATCTGTACATATCAATAAAGCTACTAACCAATAGTTTAGCTTAGAATTGGGCATTTGTAATATGTTAGTATATGAATGTGATCTTTGGAATTGCTGTTGAATAAGTAAATGTTTCGATTTTATGTACTATATTTAATGTAATAGAACTTCAGCTTCACACCAAATTCATAGTGTCATTGAGTGTGTCTGAGTGGATAGTAAAGCCAACAGCAGACGCTAGTTCATCTCTTACAGCATCATAATACCTTTTAAAGTAATACTTCTCGAAGTAATAATGATCCCTGGTGTGTCAGTAGGGTGATCACTGCCTCGGCTCCCATGTTTGGACTTTCGGCTGTCACTCATATTTCAGGAGCAGGGAGCAGTCACGGGCAGAGGGTTGTTAATGGGTTAAATCTCGAGGTCTATGTGCAATCTTTTTGCCAGACTGGTATTCTCTCCCCCCAAGCCCTCTCACACTCTATCTGGGCTGCCTGCTGCCTACAGGTGGAGGCTCTGTTTACATTCTTTCTCATGTTTGTTCTCTCTTGTCTTTGTGTTTTAATGCCAGTCTAATTGACAGTAGCCAGAGTTTGGTTGGGAGTTCCACCATACGCACGCAAGAGCAAAGCTATGCTCTGTCTGTCCATGGCCTGTTCATCTGGTGGTGTTTGGTTTATACTTATTATAGATTTCATTGAATTTGGGAGATGATCTTATTCTCGTGTTCATGTTCTTATTGTTACTCTGACCATAGCAATACATTAACACTCATTATACTGTATCAGACTGATGACAGGGCAGCACTGATTGGAATTGTGTATGCAGCTGTGAATGGCTTTTTCCCACTTAAACATGTAGGAAACTGTAGGATGCGGTGTAGACTGGCACTGAGATGGCTGGTATAACCTTATGCACTGAGGAGAGCAAGCAATGCCTTCAATGTTCAACCAGGATTACTACTACCGCTCCTGTCAAATGTATTAGTGATTAAACCACATACAGTACAGTCATGACTAGGGCCGGGACGATACCAGTATCGCAATACTCGTTAGTATAGTGGCAAGGAAACAAAACACGAAGTGGATTAAACTTATTTAGGAAAACAGCCCTAATGTTGGAAACAAACATCATTATGTTGTCATCCAGAGTCATATGTATTTATTTTCCAAGCTATAACACACAATATTTTACATACAGCAGGTTTTTAAAGGACCAAAGAGTTGTCTGCTTCGTGTTTTCATTTTTGCCATGGAAAAAAAATATTGCGATACTGGTATCGCCCTAGCCCTAGCCCTGAGTAGGTAAATAGTTAATTTATGTTATTCCAGTATTGGTGTAGTATAAGGTAATTAGTATTGTGTCCACTCCAACAGCTCAGTCCCTCATTGTCAGGCTGTGGTCTGCATTGTGTACTAGTGCCTTAATTGATTCTGCTGTACCAACATCTAAAGGCTTGTCCTTCTGGATAAGAACATTTATCCCGTCTAACCCAAACTCTCTCTGGGTCATTAACTATCACCTAGTCCTATGCCATAACACAATGTATTGCCTTGGCTGGTAGCCCATCTGCCTGCCGTAAACCATGCTGGTATATAAAGTGCATCCATGGATATGTTTAGGTTTTAGACTATATACAGAAATTAACACACACTACACTGCATTCCATGAGCATGTGGCAAGTTGTTATTGAACTCTTAAAGATGAGAATTTGCTCTGCCTTTAAATTCATTCAACATACACATAATCCTTATAAATAGGACTAAATAACGTCCTTCTTTCATTGTTAAACCACTATAAATTAAGTTTTTATCGATAAATGTAACGACTATCCTGAGATCATGTATATTGTCTAAGCAATTTGTCTATAAGCATTAACTGGAATAGGAAAAACGACTAGCTGTTATTCAAATGTAGGTGTTGTGCTTTCTTTAACAGACTGAATTCATCAACAGTTTAACTGATGCTGTATGTATAATATTTATCTTGTCACAAAAGTATTTTTTGTATTCACTGAAAATAAAGAGTTTCAAACAAACATGGCCCAGTTTGTTAGTGGTCATTGTGATTAATTTACTGTATGTATCATTCATTCATGAACAGGAATCCTGAATTAACTGAAAGGAAATTGAATAGCTAAATGAAGCAAAGCCTGTATCAGCTCACCAACATTCTTTCCAGTAGATGTCACTGTTAGTCTTTTCAATGTAGAGGTTGGGGTCACTGGGTGTTTTGAGACCTATGCTGTAGTGGATGGAGAGTGCAAATTCAGGCAGACCAAATATGGTCATACAGTATGTGCTGTATTCCCCTGGTTCACAGACCAGACCCTGAACCATGCAGGGACTGACTGCCATTTTAGCTGTTTGTACTTTTAGTTCACTTGAGTAGATTCCCAATAGATTCAAATGAATTGCCCATTTCTGTAATGTTGTCTGTATAAGTCCTCTGATGTTAAAAGTGATGCCATGCAATTCAGATCAGCTGTTCTATGTCTAGTAGACCTTACGTTGGCAGTGAGCACATTCTCCTCAGGTGACAAATCTTCCAGTAAGTCTGGAGCTCACATGCCAGTCCTCCTCACAGTGCCCAGCCCTGGGCTCCCCAGGACAGACTATATGAAAGACGGTCAGAGCAGAGGTGCCCAGCAGTACTATACACATAGCCAGCCTAATGAACACCATATTTGGCCGTTTGACTGTTTTGGTCTCATGCGAGGCCACACAGTGGAGAGGGGAAACTCAAGCCATGTGTCCAGCAAGGAAGGGAGTGCCATTCCATCACAACTTAGACCAGAGGAAGAGGATGATGTTTGTTTGGGGAGCTTTGGCTCAGGAATAGGACTATCAAAACCCTCAATGGGATGAGTAATGCTTTGAAGAACCCACGATCTCCAGTGTGTCCGTCCTCTTATGTCACTGTATTAGAGTAGCAATCAAGATCTGCAAAATTTCTGTTTGGCACACCAGCATGAATAACTTCATGACTCCAACATGATTGCACTAATAGTGATTTTTCTTTGTTTAGTACTTATTCCACATTTTGTTGTGTTACAGCCTGAATTCAAAATTGATTAAATATTGTTTCTTCTCACCCATCTACACACAATACCCCATAACGACAAAGTGAAAACATGTTTTTAGACATTTTTACAAATTTATTGAAAATGAAATACAGAAATATCTCCTTTAAATAAGTATTCAAGTAGATTTAAGTCAAAACTGTAACTCGGCCACTCAGGAACATTCAATGTCTTCTTGGTAAGCAACTCCAGTGTAGATTTGCCCTTGTGCTTTAGGTTATTGTCCTGCTGAAAGGTGAATTCATCTCCCAGTCTGGTGGAAAGCAGACTGAACCAGGTTTTCCTCTAGGATTTTGCCTGTGCTTAGCTCCATTCTCTTTATTTTTTATCCTGAAAAACACACCAGTCCTTAACGAATACAAGCATACCCATAACATGATGCAGCCACCACTATGCTTGAAAATATGGAGAGTGGTACTCAGTAATGTGTTGAATTGGATTTGCCCCAAACATAACACTTTGTATTCAGGACAAAAAGTAAATTGCTTTGCCACATTTTTTGCATTATTACTTTAGTGCCTTGTTGCAAACAGGATGCATGTTTTGGAATATTTTTTATTCTGTACAGGTTTCCTTCTTTTCACTCTGTTAATTAGGTTAGTATTGTGGACTAACTACAATGTTGTTGATCCATCCTCAGTTTTCTCCTATCACAGACATTAAACTCTGTAACTGTTTTAAAGTCCCCATTGGCCACATTGTGAAATCCCTGAGCAGTTTCCTTGTTCTCCGGCAACTGAGTTAGGAAGGACGCCTGTATCTTTGTAGTGACTGGGTGTATTGATATGCCATCCAAAGTGTAATTAACAGTGGTGGAAAAAGTACCCAATTGTTAAACTTGAGTAAAAGTAAAGATACCTTCATAGAAAATGACTCAAGTAAATGTAAAAGTCACCCAGTAAACTTCTACTTGAGTAAAAGTCTAAAAGTATTTGGTTTGAAATATACTTAAGTATTAAAAGTAAATGTAATTGCTAAAATATACTTAAGTATCAAAAGTAAAAGTATAAATAATTTCAAATTCCTTATATTAAGCAAACCAGACAGCAC